GCGGGCACAGCGACGCCCCCCGACGGCTCGGCCCGACCTCGGCGGGCTTGGTCTCCTCACACCGCCGGCTCTGCTCCCAGGGGGCCCGAAGCGCCGGGGGTCCGAGCCGCGGGCCTAGGACAGAGTCACAGGGAGAGGCTGCCGGGAGGCCGGAGCCCAGGAAAGACGGCTTTGGAACACCTACTCGCATCCCCATCCTCGCCTTCCCTTTTATCCCTCGACCCCTGAGAAGCTCAGAGCTCGGTTCCGGGCACCATCAGCATCTTAGCATGGGTGGTCAGGCCATTTGCTCCTCCCTCCTTCAACACAAGTTCAATTTCAAATGTTTTCTGGAATTATCTTAAATGTCTTTTATATTTAATTACTTTCTTTTAGGAAGCAAATAGGGTAGAGCTTGGAAATAAAGAAAACTAAGCATTTGCTGGACACTCAGCCTTTCTCCTCTCCTTGGATCGCTGGCTGGCCCTTTGCTCTGGCTTTGCATCGGGCTCCCACTAGACTGTGAGCTCCTTGAGGCGACTGGGGCCGTGTTTAGTCATCTCAGAGTCCCTCAGAGTCTTGTAAACAGTGCCTCACACATAGCAGGGCCTCAAGAATGCTCGTTAAGGGGGAGGCGGGTATAGAGCAGTGGTAGAGTGCATGCCTAGAATATATAAGGTCCTGGGTTCAATCCCCAGTACCTCCATTTAAAATAAATAAATAAACCTCCCCACCAACAAAAACTAAATAAATACTGAAAATTTTTTAAATGCTTGTTAAATATATAAAAACTAATGAAAGGCTTGTAGTTACAGAAATCAAGAAAGTGCAGCTAAGACCATTGTGCCCTGACACCCCCAACAAGTGTGACCTCTAATAAGCTATATGAAAAATGGGAAATTATCTGGGTCACCTTAACCAGCTCACCGCCCCTACTCTGGGTATAATCTCTCCCCTTCATCCTGAGGGTTAATGAGGCTAATTTGGAAGGCACTTCACACGCAAGTCTCATTAAGTTCACTGTAATTTTTAGCAGGAAAATAATGCCAACTAGCTCTAAGTAGACAATGACCCCAGCCAATTGTGGCAAAAGATGAGTGGAAATGAGGTTTGGAGTGTGAGTGGGTGTGTGTTGTGGGAGCAGTTGGCTTTGAGCCCTGCTCTTCAGTGCCCTGGCACACTTTGAAGAAGAGGAGCTGGGGCATGGTCCAGAGTTAGTGATAATCTTCCTAGCAGGGCCCTCCTGCCTTGCCTAGGGCCTGGCTGAGGTGGGAGGGACCGCAGCTCCCTTTCCAGCTACAGCCACCATCTCATCAGCAGGATGCGTAGACTTTTGCTTTCAGTCTCACCTAAAACCTTTTGCCAAAAAGAGCCAAGAGCTCAGTGTGCCCTGGGCAGTGGTGAGGGTCTCTTCTGGGGGAGCCTTCTTCCCCCAGAAAGAACACCCGATCCCAGCAGAGAAGAGACTCTTGTCAAAGGAGGGCTGTGTTCCCAGGGCTGTGTTCTTTCTGCTTTGGAATAATATCTTCTGGGCACAGTGATGCGGCGTGTGTAGAGGGAATGCTCCAAATCCCACAGCTGGAGGAACTGAGGTCCTAAGAGGCTAAGCCCCAGTTCTAGTTTGCCCAGAAAGCTGACCACCCAGCAGTGTTAAGCCCGGACTCCTTACTTGGGGATGAGCGCTGTCCAGCTCATGCCCCACGGAGGGCACTCTTGGGAAGCTCAGTTCCTGCTGACTTCCTGCAGCATTGGATCGAGTGACTTTGGGGGACGTTTCTTTACCTCTTTGGGCCTCAGTTTCTCCAGGACATCAGTTCCACAACGAACACATAAGGTTGACAGGTATTAAAGATCTGTCCTTTTTGTGTAGATTTTTACCCCCCCAAAAGCCCCATAAAGGAACTAAGGTCACTGATAAAAGAAACTTGCAGAGTAAATTTCCTTCCCAGCAGATCTGCACAGAGAGGTGGTTGGCGTAGAGCAGAAAAAAACACGAAGGAGCTTGGTGGTTAACAAGCACCTGAACCTGGGTGAGCCTCCTGACTAACAGACTAGCCAGAGCTGAAAAATATGGTAACTCATTTTGCGACAGCTCACTTGCCCCCTCCCGCCCTCCCTCCCAGACAGCACATACCTGTGGTTCTAGGGTGCTCCATGGGCGCCACCTTTTCAAATGTCTCCCTGAAGGAGATGGCACAAAGGAAAAGCATTAGTTGCCAGGAAACCAGTGAGTTCATCCTGGTGAGAAGATGCAGGTCCTGGAACTACCCTGATGTCAAGACAGAAAGACGGAGAAGGGACTAGGTCAGGTGCGACATCGGGGCTGGGTGCTGGGGCAGATCCCAGTGCAAAGAGGGGAGCCCTGGAAGGGAGGAGACAGCCCTGCCCTGGGAGGCCCCCAGTGGAGGGATGAGTCTGAACAGACACAGCATGGAAATGGGACTGAGGCCACTTGCACAGTAGAGTCCAAACTGAACTCATGCTGTGTAGGGATCATCAGAGAGGGCTTCCTGCAAGAGGTGAGGCCAGTAAGGTTATCAAGGAAGGAGGGAAGGGAAGACGGAACGGAGGGAGGAAGGATCCATATTGGTGGAAGGGGCAGGACTGCTCAGGTTGGGAAATGGCCAGGATTCTGTATCTCAGGTTTGCTTGAGAGGAATGCTGGAGAGACGAAGAGATACAGTGTGGCAGTGAGCAGGGAGGGGTGACCTGAAGTAGGGCCAGGAGTTCCACTGAGTGGCAAACGCCGAGGTCCGAACGTTGTCTCTGGAGCCTGGGAGCAGGCACTTCTCTCTGTGCTGGACTCTGCATTAATCCACAACTTTCTGTGTTCCTCTCTCCCCATTAGAATGTGCCTTCCTGAACCTGGCTCAGTTCCCTCTTGCTTTAATAGGAAACTTTTTGTTTGTTTTGGGGGGGAGGTAATTAGGTTTATTTATTTTTTATTATTATTATTTTTAATGGAGGTGCTAAGGACTGAACCCAGGACTTCATGCTAAGCACAACCTTTACTACTGAGCTATACCCTCCCCCACCTTTGTAATAGGAACTTAATGGTTTTCCTTTTTCAAGAAAAAAGAAAGAGAGAGTCAATCATCTAGCTTGCTCTCATAACCCTTCATGGCCTTGAAGACCATCATTAAATGGTCTTATTGCCTATAATTCAGGAAAGAGAAAAACCTTTCCCCAGTGTATCAGGTCAATTGTCTCCATGTTCTAGTCTCCGTGAGCCCTGGGAAGATAGCAATTTAATTGATTGCATTATTTTGGCTTTTGAGGTGGGAGCTGTTGTACCTGACCCCCCCTTCACCCCTTTCCCATTTCATCCCGCACTCCACCGCCACCTGCCTGCCCCCGCAAGCTCTTCCAGCTTCCAAGTCTGATTGCTCTTTGAAAAAGTCATCAGGCACTTTGAGATTGTCCAACAAACATGATTAAAGACAGACTGATGGGGAGCCAGGCAGCCCTGCAGGCTAAGCAGAAAGTGTGTGGGTGCCAGATCTAAAGGCTGAAGCCTCTCTGTGGTCGAGGGGCAAGTGTGTGTGCGTGTGTGTGTGCGTGTGCGTGTGTGATGGGAGAGATTATCATTTGTGCCCATTAGCTCCTAATGGTTGCACAGACCCATCCACCCCTCTGTCTTGCCCCCACTCCCCATTCGTCTCCCTGCTCTCCCTCCAGGACCCAGGCATAGGGTAGAGTAAGAGTGGGACCCAATCTGGCCCCAGCTCTGCCTGCCCTCCTGTGAGATGTGAGATGTGAGATCAAAGCAAGTCACCCCCAATCTCTGGGCCTTATTGTTCCACATGTAAAATAAGATCATTGGCTCAGACTCGCCACCGACTGTTCCCTCAGATGGTCACTTATCCTTGCAGACTTGATTCTATGACACCCTGAAATGCAGACCACGGCTTTCTGCACTAGCCTTAAGGCCTGGGGTGGGGAGCGGAAGCAGGATCAATCCATTCGAGACAACAGTGTAAAACCATTTCTTTTGTGGCTTCAGACCAGGAGGCACAGGGTCCAGGTTAGTTCAGACATCATTCCTGATCACAGCATCCACTCGTGCTGCGCAGGGCGCTACTGGTGCTCAGACACAGGGTTGCTTCCCCCAGGCCCTCCCCCGAGATCTAGCACAAGAAACTGAGTCTTAAGCAGACCATCTCAAAATAACATGGTAAATGGTAAGCTGGAGGCATGTGGGTACATGGTGGGGGCAGTGGGGGACAGGTGGGAGCCTGTGGGAGCCTGATCTGAGGGTACACGCAGGTTTTCTGCAAGGGTGGCCCCTGAGCTGAGTTTTTGAGCAGGAGTCAGCAAGATGAACAAAGATCTGCCCAAGGCAGTCCCAGCAGGGAAGCTGGAGCTGGGTGTGGAGGGAGGGGAGTGCACCCTCCTGCCTGCCCTGAAAGGTGGAGCTTCGCTGGAGAGTGAGAGAGCGCTGAGGCTGGGGAAGAGGCCACGCAGGAGCGGCATGAGCCAGAGAGGAATGTGTGTAGATTGCATTTCAGACGGAGCATTCAGGCTGCTCTCCAGAAGCAGGATGGTGAGTGAGGATGGGGGGAGTAGGCAGGCTGTGTGGTTAGAGGGTAATGTTCCTTCCTCCAGTGCCTCTCACCCGTATTGCATCCTCCCCAACCCATTATAGGTAGCATTTACCATGGGTGCCATGTGAGAATTTTGGTTTTCCCCACTACTTGTCCCTAGTACACACATACACACACACACACACTCACTCTCTCTCTCTCCTCCAAGTCTTGATTCACTGCCCAGCACAGGAATGTTTAACACATGCGGCAGAACTGAATTTGGAAGAGAACCACCAGCTTCCAAGGAACCATGAGTGGCTGCCCTGCTGTGGGCATTTTTGTGGTCCCCCTGCTGCAGGGTTTTGGACCTAGTGAGTAACAAATTCCAGGCTTAGTCAGAAAGCGTTTGCAGTGGGGCAGCTCCCTTCCTGGGTGACCCCCATCTCTTGGCAGTCAGGGGGCTGGCAGGGCACACAGGGGCTCTTTGGTTAGGTCTGTGTTTCCCATCCACATGTCAGGGGAGCAGTGCAGGGAAACTGCTCAGAGAAGTCCCGTTGAGCGCGTGAGCCCCAGGAGTTCCCCAGTTCCCTCCAAAAGCTTCTGCAGCCTCTCATCGCAGCCACAGAGTTCATTTGCTGCTCTTTCTCCTTCCACAGAAAGGAATCCCCAAGGTCCTGATTTCATAAAGTGCAGGTCAGTGTGTTTACCCAGAACCCCCAGAATAATCTGGCCAACCCAGTGAAAAGAACAGTGCCTCCTCTGCCTGCCTGGGACACTCCTGTCAGTCTTGGAGCTGAACTTCTGCTCCCACCTCTGGAGCCTCCCCGGGTCTGGCCAGACCCCTCCCCAGGTGTGCACTGCGCAGCGCACCTACCTTGCCTTGGCTCTGTCCTGGCGCAGTGGGAGATCCGCGGGGTCTCTGAGGCAGTGATGTTAATGCTTGGGAGGGTGAACACCGGGAGGGAGGGGGAGCTGGGCTCCTGCACTCACTCTTACCAGCCCCCTGATCACATCCCTTTTATAGAGCCTGAGTGACGTGGCCAGGGACAGGCCCACCTCTGCCTCCCGCTCCCTCCTCCTCAGACCCCCTCAGAAGGCACAGTGCTCCCCAGGGCTGCCTCCCGCCTCCTGGTTCTCATGACTGAAATTAGCCTCTTCCTCCCACCCCAGCAGCCTTCCAGGGGCTTTCTTAGCCCCACGAGTGCTTTTCATCCCCCTCACTTCCTATTCCCCAGGCCCACACAGAGACCTGTTCTGCCCCCTAAAACATGGAAATGGACTGAGAGGAGGGGGTGTCAGCGTGTGATGATCCCCCTCCAGACAAGAGCCATGACACAGCCAGTGTGACGTGAGCAGGACCCAGGGGCGGGAGGGAGAGGACACGGCACAGTCTGCCCAGGGGCTGCTTGATCCCCGCGTGCTCCCAGCTCTGGCAGGTCAGCCTGGGACTCAGACCGGGGGGCAGCTCCGGGGCTGGAATCTGGGACTGGGTGGGGGACTGTCTCTTTTTCTTCCTTCCCTCATCCCTTCTTTCCCCAAACAATTAGTGAGCACGTGTTCAGCACAGGGTCTGGAGATGAATATGCCATGGTCAGATGGCGGCCACAGGTATGTGAGCAGCCGGCCAAGAAAGCAGCAAAAAACGGTAGTTCTAGAAGGTGGACGTACCTGGGGGATGCTCAGGGAACGCGGAGGAGTGACCTCCGCTTGCGGTGTGTCCAGATGCTGTTCCTGGGGTCCCACTGCTACGTCTGGGGTTGGGGTCACATTGTTTTGTAATTGCTGTGAACCTCACTTTGAAGGCAGGGCAGGTTTGCTTCCCTTTGCACCTCCAACACCTGCTCCTTGCTCGGTACACACAGAGGAGGCCCTCACAGAGATTTACTAAATATACCCACGGCAGGGGACTCTTGTCTCATTCTTGAGCCTGTAAAGAATGCACTTTACCCTTGGACAGAGACTGGGACCCTCGGAAGGTTGGGGCTATGTCTCTACCCTCAGGGGCTGGGTCTCTACCCCAGCGCAGGATATATTTTACCTCTGCCTGGATATATTTTAAATATATCCACCTAATTAATAGTTGAGAAGCACTTCCTGCCACTATGTGGGATTAATAGCCATCACTTGTTTAATGCCTACTGCTAACAGGGGCTTGCAAATATATCATCTCACTCATTAGGACTAGTTAACTCCAGGATAAAAATCACAGGCCATGAGAACAGTCGAATGTGTGTGTGTGGGTCGTCCTGCCCCGAGTCCGGAAATGAACTTACTGGGCTAGAGACACTGACTGTGAGCCTCAGGCACACCCCCAGCTTGGGGATTTAATCTGTGCTTCTCCTCTGATAAATACAAGACAGGATGTGGTACCCGCCCCAGTGCAGCTTCCATGGGGCCCTGGATCTCTGCTCCCAGCAGCGCTGACAGCCTCTTGAGTTCACTCGGGAATTTGAGATCAGTCATTCGGCTCCGTCCTTCCTTCTGGACTTGGAGAAGTCCCAGTATGATGGGGAGATGAGTCAGTGCAGGGCGGGGGCCTGGGGGTGGCCCCCCTTTCCTTTCCAGCCCCCTCAACCAAAGATCCAAGTTCAAGGAGCTCATCTCTGCTGTTCAGACCATTGAGCTGGTGCCTTCAAGCCTCCGGAACAGCTGTGGGAGCCAAGAATCATTACTCCAGACAAAGCGTGGAGAGCAGACTCAATATCTAGGTTATTACGAAGCTGGCCTTCAGAGCCAGGAGCAGCGCGGAGCGTAGACGCAGAGACGGGGCTGCGGGATGTGCCCAGCTGGCGGGCATGTCAAGGTGCTGGCTTAGGGACCCCCCCCCCCACACTCCTGGCTTCTCAGAGAGCTCGTATTTTGTCAGGTGCTTCAGAGAAAGGGAGGGGACCACTGCCCCATGCCTGCCCCAAGGAGAGGACAGTCTGCCATCTGCTTTTCCTGCTGTCACACGTCCTCTCCATGCCTGGCCCAGACTCAGCCAGCTCCCCAGAAACCTAGCACCTTCTGGCTGGGTCACCTGGAGTCCCCAAGCCTCTGTCTCTTTGGCTCTAATAAAGAGCTAGCATCAGTTCTCTACGTCCATGCCTCAGGTTCAGCTGCTCACCCCTCATCTCATCTGCTCTTGTCAAATGGAGAACGTACAGGATGGGGAGGATGAGCTGAGGCTGGCCAACCTGGGGCGATGAGGAAGGGTCCACAGCACATCCAGTTTTACCAACGCCGTGTGCCCCACCCACCCCAGAGCACCACCACCAAGCCACAGGAATAACCCACTTACCGCACTCAGGAAGGGGATGTTGGCGGTATTGCCCAGGAAGCCAAAGACGACAGGGAAAAAGCCCCTAGGAGCAGAGAGGCGGGGAGAGGGGTCAGTGATGGCCTGGGAGGGCAGGATGAGGGCAGTGAGGCTGAGGTCCCCCCAAAGGCTCCAGCTTTGTCTCCCAAGAGAGCGGGCCCCAGGGCACTGGGAGTGGGCGTGGTGCCGCAGCCCTGTGTTTTGAGAGGCAGCCAAGTGGAGTAGTTAAGAATAAGGCCCTGGGGATGTGAGGGCGATCTGGCTGCGACATCTGTCACCCTGTCCTTGTCATCTGTCATTGATCTCCAGGGTTGATTTGGCTGATCTGGCTGCCTAGGCGGGTGTCCCCTTCCTGCCTCACAGCTCCATGTGCGTCCCTCCTGAAGCCGCACGCTCGGACGAAGAGGACCACCATCCCGATATAGGAGGACCGTTCGCTCTGCTCGGCCAAGGGTGTAGGAGTAGCTGCGCTCCCGGCCAGCCCCTCCTGACAAGCTCTCAAGAATAGAGGCCCCGGGGGCAGGCTCCTTGGGTTCGGGTCCTGGCTCTGCCCCTCACTGGCACTGGTCAACTTGGGCAAATCCCTTAACTTCTGAATCTCAGTTTCTCGCTGTAAAATGGGGTTAGTAATACTATTAATAATGGTATCTACATCATAAGGCCTTCCATGTTTGGGAAATATTTATTTTTACTTATGTTCCTGTCTTCCCCTCCCTGCACTGGTGTGTACCACCTGCCGCAGGTTTCCTGGGCTCCAGGCGGGACCGCCGTGCTGTTTATTCTCTCCCACGCCTCGGGGCCTCACGCTCATCACACACACCCCGGCAAGGATGGGTGACCCTCCAAACGGCTTGGAGGCACGGAGGCTGGCGTTGGAAGGGGCCCTTGCGTGCAGCAAAGGTGAGGGGAGTGGGAATCTGAATTCTGGCTGAGTTACTTACTTCCTCTCCTTGGGCCTGAAGTTCCCCTGCATCTCTGAGGGCTCTTATAGCTCCGAGCTACTGAATCTGCAGTGGCTCCACTCACACTTCTAAGCCCGCAACAAATGGTAACTATTTTCAGGGTTAATTTGCCATCCTTACGAAATTATAAGCTCCGCTGGAAGTTCCTCCTTGTTTAGCACTGTATCCCCACACCCAGCCCTGTATTTGGCACATAGTAGGTATTTTAAATATAACTGACTGTTTGAATCAATGACTATTTGTAAGTTGGGGTTTAAATTTTTTTTTCTTATTTTATTTTAATTTTAATGGAGGTGATAAGGACTGAACCCCAGGACCTCGTGCCTGCTAAGCACGCACTTTACCACTGAGCTATTCTCCACCCCTCAATAAATGACTGTTTGAATAATGATATATCTGAATGTTAAATAATGGATGGCAGGACACCTGTGAGAAAATTTCGTTCCTGAAGCCACACTACAGGGTGTCTCTGAGGTGTCAGGCATCTGGGCGGATCAGGGTGTTTTCAAGGCTGCACTGAGCAAGCTGAGGGCTCTGATGAGAATCCAGGGTTCCTGATCTCAGCTCCTTCCCATGAATCCATAAGCCACAATTCTTCCAGCCCACATCATCCCCGTCCCACCCCTGTTCTCTCCTCAGTGCCCCAGAGATGGTCTTCCCCAGTATCATCCTTTTCTTTCTTCTCCTTAAGCACCCTCCAGTCTTCTCGGAGACCATACCCACCCCTCAAGGCCTGTCTCCAATCCTGCTTCCTCTGGGACACCTCCCTGGCCCTGATGGAGCCCACACATCTTCACTGAGCTCCCTGCCTTTCACCGGGCCCAGGCTGACACAGGACATGCCGAGGGATGTGGCAACATGAGCCAAAGACACCTGGGTCAAGTTGAGATCCTTTGCACACTGCTTGTGAGAACTTGGGCAGGGGCAGTCTCTCTAAGCATTGGTTTCCTTATCTGCAAAGCAGAGGACAGTCTTACGATGGGTTGTGGAGAGGGCAAAACGAGGGGATGCCTGTGAGTGTGCTTGGTGCATTAGGGGACTAGCAAATATCAGCTCACTGCCCCTCCTCTCTATCTAGACTGCTAGACTTGAGGGCAGGCCCTGTGTCTCTTCCCTGGTGACAAGCCCAGTAATGGGAACACAGCAGGTACTCAATGTTTGCTGGCGGACTGGCTGATCCCTCCAACTTATCCTTCAACCTACGGTTGTGGTGTCCACCTGATACCCCTCCCCAGTTTCAACTCTTCCGTGGCTCCCCTCTCCTGCAGGATGAAGTCCAGCTTCTGGATGCACTGCTGGTCACGCTGCCCAGGCCTGATCTCAGCTGCTCAGAGGCCCTGGTGGCCCCTCCAGGGGAAAGGGACCCGCGCTCACTTGAAGAGGTTAAAGAAGCCATAGGTTTCGAGGAGCATGCCCAGGAGGGGCCGGCGCAGGAGCACGATGGCCACACCCCCCAGGAAGAAGCTTGTTCCCTTCAGCTTGTGTCTCTGGAAGAAGAAGGAAGATGTCTTCCTCAGACCAATGATGAGGGAGAGGCCGGTCAGGAACAGCAGCTGCCGGGGAGGGAGAGCAGGGTGAGAACAAAGACACTGGCCCCCGCGGGAGTCAGGGCCAGGCCCGGAGTCACGCAGCAGGCACGGGCAGGTCTTGCTAAATCTTCGAGGAGGGACCATATGGGAGAGGGTGACCCAGAAATGTGGAATAACCCCAGAGCCCTGAGTAATTTGAACTGGTAGAAACAGGAGTGCCCAGGGGCAGGGTGGACAAGGAGAACTTGGAAGGTCCCTGGCTTCTCGCCCAGTTCAGCCCAATTTCTTGGATCCCAAGCATTTCATATATGACATCAGTTCTCATCACACCTTCCAAGTAAGAAGGGATAGTGAGATTCTGTCCATTTTACAGAGGTGAAGACTGAGGCCTAAAAAGGTTTGGCAGCCATACCCAAGGGCACAGCAAACTGTCAGGGCTCCGCTGCCTATGGAGTTAATAGTCCAGGCCTCTGCTCTGTGGCCCTGTCACCCTCTTCAGCTTGGTTAATGATTCCTTACAAATGCCTGGGCTCCTGTCAGACTTAACCCTCTGGCTGTCTTCCAGCAGGTTCCATGCTCTTCCTCTCCATCTCCCTATGTTCTCTCTTGCTGTTCCAGCCACCTGGAAGTGCTTTATCCACTCCCACACCTCTTTTTACCCCCGATTCCTTTTCATCCTTCTCCCACAGGGCATGCTCTCTTTCCTCCAAGCACCTTGTTTCAGATTAGATGTGTTTATCTTCCAGTGACTTTATCACTGCCCCTGCCCTCCTCCCAGTCATCTAGACTGATGTCACATTCCTGTCTCAAGGTGTGGGATTCCGCTGGTAGGGACAAGTGTCTGATTCATCTTGGCACCCCCAGGGCCTCGCCCAGAGCTTGGCATGAGAATCCAGGTCCTCAGACTCTCCATGCCCAGTAGACCTCACCGTCCATCCCCAGCCACCCTTGCCTGCCTGGGCTTGATAGAGCCTGACTCCTGGATGGGCAGGATCTGAACAAACTCAGGGCCGACCCTCCCAGCAATGGAGACCTCGGGTAGGTTCACAGGGCTGGGGGACTCACGTTTCCGAAGGCCAGGAGCACCGAATCAAAGTACAGGAGCACTCCGAAGAGGATGAAGAAGATGCCGAAGCCGGTGACGCCCACGCCAATCTCTGCAGTGGGCAAGGAGGTAGTGGTGGGTTGGGCTTCGGGGAGCAGGTGGGGTGCTGGAACTTCCCCTCACTGCCCCTGGGCAGGTGTCCTCTGGGGGGGATGGGGTGGCTCCATTTCCACCCAGGAATCTTGGCTTCCGTGCCCTCGGGGAATGACGGGATGCGAAGGGAAGGGTGGGATGGGCACGGATCTGTGTTTAGCACCTGGAAACTGCTGGTCATTTCTACAGATTCTGACCTCCTGGCCTCCCAACAGCTCTATGAAGCAGTTAGTGCTACCCTCATCTCTTGCTATCTTCAGTTTCCTCTGTCTTCAAATGCTGCAGCATCTCGATCATTATCGGGGTTGGGTCCCTGGCTGAACACAACCCCCACCTACTCTGTTCCTGTCCTCTTGCAGAGGGGTACCACTGAAAACGCACAGCCGCCAGCCCCAGAGGGTCTCGGAACTGCCCAGCGGGTCTGCCCTAGTCAATGCTCAGGAGGCTTCACTGTCTCCTTTCTCCACGAAGCCACCCCTCTTCCCAGCCTCCCGATGATGACCTCTCATGATTGGGGAAGGGAAAGCGTCAATCAGGAATGTGCTCATCACCTGGGAGTCTCCACCCCAGCCAGCACCTTGGCCGCCCCCGCCACACGCCCCTCGGTGCCCTAGCTCCAGCCACAGTGGCTGGGCTGTTCTCTGCCAGGTGGGCCCTGTCAGCAGCGTGTCTTTTGCTCTGTGCCAGCTCATTCTCTGAACTGCAGGACCTGGCTCAGAGCCAGGGGGCACAGCACAGACGTGCAGACTGTTTAGGATATGAAGTTCCTTCTCTCCTCAACCCTCTCCATCACACAGAATCGTTAATTTTACTTTACCTTTGCCACTCCGATAGTCTACAAATGACAATTCATCGTGTTGCTTCATTTTAAAATTCACATTGAAAATTTTAAATTATGATAAAATACACATAAAAGTGACCATCCTAACCATTTTGAGGAACATAGTTCAGTGGGGTTGGCACCTTCACCGTCTTGTGCTGTGGCCACCACCCACCTCCAGACTCATCTTGCAAAACTGAAACTCTCTACCCACTAAACAGCTCCCCGTTCCTCCCTCCCTCGGTAGCCACCATATCCTACTTTGGATTTCTGTGATTCTAACCACTCTAGGTACCTCGTATGATTGGAATCATACAGTGTTTGTCTTTGTGTGACTGGATTATTTCACTCAGCATAATGTCTTCAAGGCTTATCCACATTGTACCATGTGTTAGAATTTGCTTTTTTAAAGCTGAGTAATATTCCATTGTACGTATACACCACATTTTGATTATCTATTCATCTTTGGGTGGACACTTGGGTTGCTTCCACCTTTGGCTATTGTAAACAGGTGAGCAAACGTGTCTCTGAGACCCTGCTTTCACGTCTTTCGGGTATATACTCAGAAATAGAATTGTTGGCTCATTCAGTACTTCTATTTTTAGTTTTTTTCAGGAAACACCAGTTTCCCACAGAAGTCGCACCATTTTACATTCCCACCAGCAGTGCACAAGGGCTCCAATTTCTCTACATCTTCACCAATGCTAGTTAGTTTTTGGGTTTTGCTTTGTTTTGTTTTTTATTGCATCCATCCTAATCGGTGTGAAGTGGTACCTCCTGAGGTTTTGATTTGCGTTTCCTTGACGATTAGTGACGTTGAGCATCTTTTCATGTGCCTGTTGGTCGTTTGTATGCTTTTGTTCTGAGGAGTGTCTATTCGAGTCTTCTGCCCATTTTAAAAAGCAGGTTGCTTGGGTTTTGTTGTTGTTGCTGTCGAGCTGTAGGAGTCCTTTGTGTATCTGGATAGCAACCCCACAGCAGGTAAATAATTTGCAGGTATTTTCTCCTGTTCTGTAGGTTGCCTTTTCACTCTGCTGACTGTGCCCTTTGATACACAGAAGGCTTAAATTTTGATATAGGCCAATTTATCAATTTTTTCATTAGTTGCCTGGGCTTTTGGTATCATACCCAAGAAATAACTGGGTTATTTCAAATCCAGCTTCACGAAGCTTTTCTCCTATGTTTTCTTCTACGAGTTTGTTTTAGCTCTTACTTAGAGATAAAATGAACTGTGAGTTAATTTTTACATATGATGGAAGAGTCCAACTTCACTCATTTGCCCATGGATATCCAGTTTTGCCAACAACATTTGTTGAAAAGTCTGTCCTTTTTCCATTGAATGGTCTTGGCACCCTTGTTGAAAACCATGTGGCTATAGATGCCAGGGTTTATTTCTGGGCTCTCCATTCCATTGGTCTATATGTCTGTCTTCACGCCAGTCCCACACTGTTTTGATTACTGTAGCTTTGTAATAAGCTTTTAAATCAGGAAGTATGAAACCTCCAACTTTCTTCTTTTTCAAGATTGCTTTGGCTATTCAAGATCCCTTGTGATTCTATATGAATTTTTCCTGTGCTTTTTTAAAAAAAAATTTTTTGGGGGTAATTTTGTTTGTTTAATTTTTTAAACAGAAGTGCTGGGGATTGAACCTAGGACCTCACGCATGCTAAGCATGTGCTCTACCATTTGAGCTATACCCTGCCCCCTCCATATGAATTTTAGGATGGCTTTTTCTATTCCTGAAAGAAAAAATGCTATTGGGATTTTGACAGGTATTGCATTGAATCTGTAGATTGCTTTGGGTAGCACTGACACCTTAACAATATAATTCTTCCAATCCATGAACATGGGATGTCTTTTTACCTATTTGCATCTTAAAATTTCCTTCAGCAACATTCTGTAGTTTTCAGGGTGCAAGCCTTTGGCCTCCTTGGTTGAGCTTATTCCTAAGTATCTTATTCTTTTTGATCAGGTGCACCTGATGAGGTGCAACTTTAAGTTTATACTGTACATAGTTTTGCAACTTGCTTTATTTACTTAATACAGCTAAAATGTCTTCTTTGGTAAATTATAGGGTGAATAGGGATACAGCAAGAGTGTCTTTTAAAATTACAATGTGTATAACATTATTTAAAATGGCTTAATTTTAAAAAAGAAAATATATACGTAATTTTTAAAGAGAAAAATTTTTACTGGACTTGTTAACTAACGTCTTAGATTTGATCCTTAATGATACCTATCACATTGACATTATTGCCAGGTTTCTACAGTGGCAAAAAGTTGTTAAAAGTCTGATTGTTAAAAGACAGAACCGTAAAAAACAAAACAAAACAAACACAAAACTATTAAGACTAGGCTTACCAGCTAAATTATATTTACAACGGAAAGAAAATGAAACACAATTGTCTTTCAGGTAGCTAATCTTTCATAATCTGTTACCACACAGATCTTAAGAGGATTAGAATCAGTTCCAGTATAGAAATCAGGCCAAATGGCTTCTTTAAAAGAATTACTAATAAGAGATGAGATTTATCCTTCAAGTTATGGCCTGAAAGCTTGCTCAACTCATACTTCAGAAAAATGCCAGTCCCAATAAGGGTCTCCCTTTCGGCACAGCTGGGTTTGTTACAACCAGTACAACATCATTTTTCTCAACACATCGCCCAGCTGCCCAAAATCCATCTTCTACTAATCCTCCTGTTTCTGACAAACTTCCTTGATCTATTCAGGCTCATTTCCTATTTTTACCTCCTAGTAATGCCTGCCTGAATTAAATCTCTTAGAACCCAGGGCCCTGGGAACAGCACAGCTCCCTTGATCATGATGAAGTTGTAGTCTGCCTTTCCCCGTTGCACGATTTTTCTATCTTCAGAGACAACAAGCTGTGGATTTAGAAGTACAGCTACTATGTCAGGATAATTCTATATGGACCAGGATGCTGCGGGGAAGACCACATCCATATTTCTTTCATTTGAATGACAAAGGTATTTTAAGATTTTACGTCTGTTATAAAAGTATCTCTTATTAGCTTACACCCACCATGAACATATGTCATTGATTTCAGCTCTGACAGTACACCCGTCCCCTCCAGCTCCCTTAGACGGTGTATTTGGGTAGAAACATACCATGGACATTTTGTAGGGGATTCATTTTGTTTTGTTAATATACCCATATGCCCATCCTGTGAACACTTAAGTACAGCCTCTTTCTCATTTGGTAGGAAGAGTATGTGGTTCTCAAATTCACACTTCGCGTCTTCTCTCCTATGTTATACTTTTTTCTGCAACAGTGATTTGCAGGCTTACATAGCCATTACTTTTCCAACTTGTCCCACACTGCCCTTCAAGGGCTGGTGCGTTTCCAGAATTTTCCTGTGATCAGGAACAGCCTTCTTTGTGGGCCACACTTAGTGCTTCCAGCATTCAGTGGAGAAACTGCACCGTGAACACAACACCCCACAGAGAAGGGTCAGAGATGGTGTTTCTCACACACAAGCCGCAGACCATCCTCGGCCTCTCGCTGGTGGAGTAGCTAAGAGATTTCAGTCAAATGACGAGGTGAGCCGGGGGTTGTTCCTGAAGTTTTTTGGGGGCAGCCAGCATGGCAGAGAGGGTGGGGGATGGAGCACATCACCAGGAGGGACCGATGTGCCTGCAGCCCACGGTCTCTGGGACCCAGACAGCTGGGGCAGTGCAACCCCTGCTGGAGGTCAGCCAGGGCTCCAGGCTACGGAGCGGAGAACAGCTGGGAGGCTCAGGGAACTCTCCAGGGATGCCTGGCTCTCCAGGCTGCCACCTGGTGAGAAGGGGGTTGCTCCCTAGACCTCAAGAATGACCATAGATGGCTGCCTGGATGCCCTGTTCGCCCCGACCCTGCAGATCTGGAGCAGCTGCCGAGGAAAGCCCAGGGTTTGCAGCCAGCCTGCCCCGATGCCCCACTCTGTAGCTCACACTAACTGAAGCCAGGTTCTTCTTTCTTGCTCCAGAAAGCAGCCACGGCTCCAAGGAAAGCAGTATCCCCTGGAGCAGGCAGAGGGACGGGGCCTCCTGGCTTAAGGCTCTGCAAGGGAGCCTCAGACACCATTCATTTTCCCTCTCCTTTCCTCTTTGTAAAAACCAGTATTTGATTTTATAAGGTATAGCTCAGTGGTAGAGCATGTGCTTAGCATGCACGAGGTCCTGGGTGTGATCCCCTGGCACCTCCATTGAGGTTAATAAATTAAATAAAATAAATTAAATAAAAAATTAAATTAATAAATTAAATAAAAACTAAATACAATAAATAAATAAAAATAAAATAAATTACATTAAATAAAATTAAACAAAAGCCTAATTACTTCCCCCACCACCCCAAAAAGAGACTGGCAGAAAAATAAATAAATAAAATTTTGGAAGAATGAAAAATAAAATAAAATCAATATCAAATGGACAGAACAGTTGCAAGTATGTACAAAGCATTTTGTTCCTGAACCATTTGGAAGCAGTTGCCACCAGCAATCTCATTACCCCTGAATCCTTGGCAGTGGCTTCCTTTATTCTCCAGTACAACCGGGACCCAACCGTCAAAGTCAGGAGATTAACACGGATACATCACTACCATCCAAAGCTCAGACCCCACTCAGGTTTCATCCATTGTCCCAGCGAAGAGATCCACTTCAGAACCACATGTGGCATTTGGTTGCCCTGTCTCTGCAATCTGTTGTGTCTGGAGCAGTTCCTCAGTCTTTCCCTGACATGACCTTGACACTTCTGAAGATTCGGGCAGTTATCCTGTAGCTGTCCTTCTATTTGGGTTTGTGTGATGTTTCCTCAGGACTAGATTCAGATTTTGCAGAAATATCAACAAGATGTGATGCCCTGTTCTTCTCAGGTGATGCACAATTTCAGTTTGACCTGTAACTGGTGGTGTTTCTTTAAGCACTTCATCAAGATCGTGTCTGCAGGCCCCTCCATCATAAAGTTGCCCCTACCCTGTCCCTGCCGGGATGCTCTCCTGCCTCTGCCCTGGCACCAGGCCAACCCCACTGTGAACACCCTCCACTCGGCTGGGGCTCTGACACCTGCCATGGGTACCGCCCTCGCCCCATCTCATGGCTTTAGGTCTGAATTGTTCAGGAAGAGGAAGGAGGGACATGGGACGAGAAAGAGCCTTGTCTGTCTTTTAAAAATTAACAGTAGTGATTAATAGCAGTAACTGCTGACACTAAGAATACGTGGTGCCAGGCAGCCTGAGCAATTCTGTTATATTTTCATAACTGCCTATGAGGTAAGTATGCTGTTAGTCCCATTTCACAAGCAGAGCTGAAACACTGAGAGGTTAGGTCAAGCGGCTTAACTTGTGCCCAGGGGTGCACAGCCAGCAACCAGCAGAACCAGGGTTTGAACCCAGCAGTTTGGCTCTAGAAAAAGTGCCTTTCGTCAACCCCGTCTGGTCCACTTCTGCCTTCACCCCCTCCACAGGCATTGCTCTTGCTTTGACCATCTGTGATGCCCATGCTCCCAAATCCGGAGGACAGATGTTAGTCCTCATCTGTCGGGGTGGCCACTCCCTTCTTGAAATATCCTCTCTCGGATTCCAGGACAACATGTTCTTGACTTCTTCCTGCTGTGCTGACTGCTCTTCCCTAGTCTTCTTCGCCAGGTCCTACTTCCCTCTCTTCCCCTAGGGGTTTGGATTCCTCAGGGCTTCAGCCCCAGCTCACCTCTCATTCTCATTTCACATCTGTTTCTAGGTCTTTGAGTGTCCCTTGTGTGTTGACAATGTCAATATCGACCTTTCCAGCCCATGCCTCTCTCGGAGCTTCCAGACTCATATACAGCTGCTGATGTGGCATATCTGCTTGGTTTTCTCTCTCCAAGGCATCTTGAGCTGAACAGGTCCAAACAGAGCTATTGAGCCTCCTTCCTCAAAGCTGTACCTTGCTCAGTTTTCCCCCGATGAAATAAAATGTCACCACCCCACCACCAGCAGTTCAAGGCAGGAGCCCAAGAGCCATCACTGAGTCTCCCTCACTGCTCCTCCATCCCACCTCCCCTGCCCCATTCAACCAACTGCTAGGTTTTATTGCTTCTTCTTCCCAAATGTATGTTGAAAGCTGTCCACTTCTCTCCAAGCTCACCACTTAATTCCAAGCCGCCATGAGCTCTTTCCTGGACTCTTGCAACATTTCCCAGTTAGTCTTCTGCTTCATTCCTGCCACCCTCTTATCGCTTCTCCACAGAGTCAGGGATCTTAGAAAACATGTAATCCACTCATGTGCACTGCAGAGAATCTGTCATGGCTTAGAATGAAAGAGTCCCCCCGTTCACTCCCTGGCTTACAGGCCCTGCATGTAAGGGCTTACGCCTGCTTGACCAGCTTCATCTCCTGCCACTATTGCCCTTGCCTGTCACGCTCCAACCACATCATTGTTTCCAGGATGAGCCTTCCTGCCTCAGGGCCTTTGCACATGCTGTTTCTTCCCATCTGTTACCTGCCTTCAGATCTCCATGACAATGTCAGTTTCTCAGGGAAACTTGGTCCACTCTCTATTCCCCGACTTAGTCTGGTCCCCTCATTTCTCTCTCTCGCAGGACTTAGCACACTCTTCATAGGACTCAGCACGTTTTGGCTTAATAAAATGTTAGTTTGCCACTGGCTTAGGCTTCAGCCCTCTTTTCTTTATTTTCCTCCCCCTAGGTCAGTGGTTCTCAACTTGGAGGGGGCGTCCGGGGGAGAGGGGGATGGTGATTTTGTTCCTCAGGGGATATGTGTTAGGTCTAGAGACGCTCTGATTGTTACAACTGGGAGTGAGAGTGTGCTACTGCCACCTAGTGGGTAGAGGCCAAGGATGCTGCTAAAATCCTACAATGGACAGGACAGACCCCACAACAAAGCATTACCCTGCCCCCAAATGTCAGCAGTGCGGAGGCTGAGAAACTGTGTCCCAGGTGATCTCCTGGTTTTAAATACCATCTATATGCTGGCGACTCCCAGCTTTCCCTCTCCATTCCAGAGTCATACACCTGACTATCTACTTTACGTCAAACTCAACACGTCTAAAACCCAACTCCTGCTTCCTCTGCGATTCAACCCTCCTAACTGCTCAGGTTAAGAATAGCGGAGGCATTCTTGACTTCTCTCTCTCACACCCCACATCCAATCCATCAGCCAATCCCTTCAGCAATTTCCTCAGTGCAGGCTCAGCATTGACCAGTTCCTACCAGTTTGTTGCTGCCACCTTGGTCTCCTCCACCACCTCTCACCTCAGAACTGGTCTCCCATCCACCATCTCTTGCCTCAGAACTCATCTCCATGTTGCTGACCCCACTTCTCTCCAGTCTATTCTCAATCCAGGATCCAGAGTGATCTTTTAAAAATATAAGCGGGTCACATTGCCCCTCTGCACAAAATTCTCCAATGGTTTCCCATCTTAAGGAGATAAAACCAAAATTCTTAATACAGTCTGGCCTCTCAGTGACCTCCCTGATGAGCCTCCTGCTATTCTCCCCTTCTCTCACTTTGCTCCAGCCACACAAGCCTCCTGGGTCTTCAAACAACACATCAAGTATGCTAATGCCCCAGGGCCTTTGCACTGGCTGTCTCCGCTTCCTAGGATTTCCCCCTCCTGATAGCTGCTTGGTTTTGTTTCCTCACTGCCTATGGGTCTCTGTACAAAAAGCACCTTCCCAAGAAAGCTTTTCCTGATCACTCTACATACAAAGCAGCAGCCCCTCTTACCCGGCACTCCTGGGCCTCCTTATACTGTTTTATTTTTGTCCAGAGGATGTATCACCATCTGACATACTGACTTCTTTATCTGTTAATTACCTGTATCCTCGTTCTGGAACGTAGGCAGGGAATATGTTCCATTCACTGTTGTATACTCCGTGCCCAACACAGAGCTTGGCACACAGAGGAGACAAATTTGTTCAGTGAATGAATGAACAGTATCTTCAAGTTCACAGAGGAGACTCTGGCTTTAAGTAATTCATCCAAATGAAACTCACAGAGCCACCACTCTCACCACTTCTCCCACATCTGGGGACTCCCTGCCCTCTCCCCTGAAGGGGAAAGATATTTAAAAGGAGTGAAGACGTGGTGATTGGGGAGGGGAGCTGAGTTGAATTTCTGCTAAGAAAGGACCCAAGAGACCCTCAGAGTTTGTGGGGGAAAGATGTGTGAACAGGCAGAGGCCTTTCGGGTCCGCCTTTGCAGTATCCCAGATCAAAGAGCCCTGTATGGGAAAGGGACCAGCTTGAGTGGTAAACTTACCAGTACCCCCAGGCACCAGCCTCTGGCTACCTGGGGGCCCTGAGCAGCCCCCCACCCCCTGAAGGGCAGGGAGCCACACCCGGCCCTGCCTCCGCTGCCTGGAGGGTGCCAACACAGCAGCTCCCAGCCAACTGGCTCCAGAGGTCGCCTTGCCGGTTCCCCAGAGAAAGGTCCCGGCTGGGCGGGGCTGCATCTCCACCCACCCTCGCCTGGATACCCCGTTCGAGCCCAGCCCCCTCCACAGCACCGGTCCCTCACACTCACTCTGCCATTCTGTGATGGAGATCATGCTTCGGGCTGCCTGGGGGACCTTCCGGGTGGAAGCTGGCAGGGGGTGAGGAGCAAAGAGGACCGAACTTGTACATGCTCGAGGGAAGCTGACCCTTGGTAAGTTGCGAAACGAGCCTCTGGCAAATCATTAACTCCCCTACACACTCATACACACACATTCTCCTAGGGCTGCTTAAAGTCACAGGTTCTCTTCTCCGGGTTCTTCCCAGAGGGCACTGCTCCCGCCCACGTCCCCCGCCCGCCGGGAGAAGGCCACGCCCATCCGAATCGTCTATTGCTCCGCCACCCCCGTTCCCTGACGCCCTGAGGCAGAGTTCGGCTGTTTCCATCTCTTTCGCAAAACTTGGACTGCTTATGGGAAAACAGGGATCTGTGGGATACCTGGGTTCCTCACGTGGCTTGGTGAAAGGTGTGAAAAAAGTTGGGACCTGTTTCTCTTTGGAACAGTACTTAAATGCATCTTGTAAGTGAAGTTTGCCAGTTCTGTGCTAGTACCCATGCTAGCCGCTAGGGGGCAACAAGTAACTGTGTGAAACCTGTTGCTGACAGCTTTACGCGAGAGCCGGATTCTGTTGAATCTAGGACAAAAACGTCCCAAGGGAGTTAGACACGAAGGGCTTCGACCTCCTTTCTCCCAGCGGTGCCCCGCTTTGGGCTGTGAAGTTGAGCTCTGGAAAACGATAGGTGAATTTAGGCTTAGGGTTGGGTTGGGACAATGATTCAGGAAGCCTGGCTCTGGTCTACCCGCCAGCAGTGTAGACGTGGCTGCATCTTTTCCTCCCTCTGTGGGCCTGAAAAAAGAGGGGCTGGACAGTGCCTAACATCCTTTCTCTCCTTGTAGAGCAGTGATTCCCAACCCCATGAGAGCCAGCACCTGCTTTGTAATGTCCCCTCTGTCCTTCAGTGCAACTCATATACATACATCATTTTTTAAAACCTCAAAGTTAATCATAATAAAGAAGCAAAAATATAATAAAACACAGTGTCTCTCAATATACAAATGTTCAGGCAAGACTTACCAGAAGACATAAATAAAGTAGGCAGATTTCTTGCATCTACCTGTAATAAGTTTGAATTTAACATAAATAGATGAGTAGGCCATTATACACACCCACACATACACACCCCCAAAATCCAAATAACCCATCTCTCTATACATGAAAATGAAAGAGCAGTAGGGCGCTCCCTCACACTAGGATGAAAACTAATGTTAGGTGAGTCATAACAGACCAGCTGTACCTGCCTATAAAACCAGAAAGAGGGAAATAAGCTCCATTGAAGTACAGACTACACAGAAAAGCTGGTTAGCGATGGCAAGGTGGAGACAAGGAAGAAACACGATGTGAATGCAAACGCACTGGGCTTGCTGTGTGTTATTGAAGTAGCTCCCCGTGTCACTGCACAGAACGGGGTAGTGGTAACTCATCACAGACACACAGATCTGTGTTTTGAAACAGCATCCTGGGTTGAGGTAAAATTCAGTCTGTGGGATCTTAAAAGGCTTTGGAGATCATACATTTCCAATAAGCAAAGGGTAATGGAGGCTGGACTGGAGAGAGAAGTGGTTATATAAAGCTGTTTAGAGCAATTGAATGTGGAGCCCGGGGACTGTCAGAGAAAAGTAGAAAAACAACAAGTAAATCCCCCAAACATTTCCACGTATAATTGTTACAACACAGGTGTTCATCCTTGGGCTGTAAAAACTTTAAAAAAAAAACCATAAAGGAGGAAATAATATGAAAGAATTTCTGAAGAATTTTCTTAAGGAGATCCAAGAAGACCCCTTGCATTTTAAATATCTTTGCTTTAATGATGTCTGCCTCACTCAGATCTCCTCTGTCAACTCTTTGCAGTTGGTCTTTTTGCTTATTCAGCGAGACTGTGCTGCCCTGGGACCAAATATACAGTAGTTGAAATGTTGCAATACATTGTGTAGACAATGCATGGAGTGGGTTATTACACAATTTTGAGACATTGTCTTTATTCCATTTAAGTGCTTTCTCCATAATAACCACCTCCTAACTTGCCGTTATTCATAAAACCTATTTTTTAAAAATTTAGACGCTTATAAAAATTTTCTAGGACTATTATGAATTGCAGTATGAATGACTTATACTGGTAATCGGTTTAGTCCAGTTGTATATTTTAAAGTCATGCAGGACAAAGGACAATGATTTATTTATTTTGGAAACCTGCCCTGTGCCTTGCAGCCACTAAATGCCAGTATAAGAGTTTTGCCCCCTTAGCATTGAGACAACTTAAGCTCCCCTGAAATTTTCCAAATTTACCCTTAGGGGGCAGTATCATCCCCATTGAAACCTTCTGTAGATTAAGAACTCAGACTCTGAAGTCAGAGTGCCCAGGACTTTATCCTAGCTCCATGAGATCTTAAATATTTTGTTTACCCTTTCTGTGCCTCAATTTCTTGGATAATAATAGTACCTCTCATATAGAAATATAATGAGAATTAGTGAGTCAATACATGTGAAATGCATAGAACCAGGTACCTGGCACAGTAAATACTTAGTGAACCAATGTTTTCACTATTCCAGTGGAGTTATGATAACTTCTATTTATACTATTAATACTATTAATAGTTATTAATATTACTGGCATAATCTACTGTTAAATGCTGTTATGTGAAAGGCTTCTGGTCTCATCTTAATTGCGGTTTTAGACTGCGCCCGCGGGTGTATACAATGGCTGCTGGGAATGCCTGTTCCCCCATCCCCCCCTCCTGGTCCCGGCCCCGGGGCCCACCTGTGAGCTCAGAACTGAACTCTCCTGAAACTGGGCCCTCTCGGCCAGATTCTCAGGTGACAGCAGCGGGTACCAGAGTTTGGCCCTGAGGGGCTTGTCTCTAGCCCGTTGTCCTGGAGAGGGGCCCCGGCAGGGAGCCTGTCCTGGCCACCACGAGGGGTGCTGAGACAGTGCAGCTACTCCTGGGCTGGAGGAATGGACGCGGGTGGGGGAAGGACACTTCAGAGGGCTGAATGGCAGGGGCCCTGGGGATGTCCTCCAGTAAAGCCTGTGGGGCCAGCAAAGGGGGACCTTGGCAAACAGTCTCCCTCTCCCCTCATCACGCCCCTAAAGGCAGCCATGGGGCCTACACAGTGTCATCACCACCTCTTCACATCTGTAAGTGAATTTGAGTTTTCAAAGTGTTTCTCATCCATTTTTCCACTTGACTTTCTTGAGAGCTCCATAAGATGGTAGATATTACCCCCATTTCACAGATGAGGAAACTGAGACTCAAGAGTTTTAGTGTCTTGTCCAAATCTTCACTCAGCTAGCGATGAGCGGGGCCGGGGGTTGAGCACAACACACTGCCTTCTCTCCCATCAGCCTCGGCAACACAGTGAGCCAGTTCCACACTGGAGGCCTGGGGTAGAGGGGGCGGCGTGGCCCCAGGTTCCTGGCAGCAGCAGGGTCTGAAGCCTGGCTGCCTGCCTGACCCCTCAAAGGGCATTCTGCTGCTTGCTTTTTCGCTTACCGCTCCTGACTACCGCCGGCTTCTGCAAGCCCAGCCGGGCTTGATCAAAGAGCTGATCTGGGCCCGAGGGCGGGGCAGGCCGGCACCTGCAGTATCATCCTTTGGAGAGCAGCCTGCCTTTGTTCATGGGCACAGCGACACCCAGCGATGCCCTGTGTCCTCACATTCCACCTCCTCTCCAAGCCTCTGGCTATACACATATACTTATGTTGTGTGTATGTGTGTGTGTGTGTAATAATGTACACTCTGCTAGCCCTTTAGGGGTGAGAACAGGTGTCCAGCATTCAAAATCAGCCATTAGAACCAGACTGAGGCTAATCAGGAATTATAAGAACTTGCCTTTCTCTCTCCTCTTTCTCAATTTTCTTCTCTTCCTTGAGCCCTTATTGCCTCTGTCTCTCCGCAGACATCCTGCAGAAGCCCAGTGAAGCCTGCCGCTGTCCTGGGCTCTCCTTCCTCTCCCTACTCCCTGCCCCATAGAATTCATGAGGCTTCCTGACTCTGACTCCTCACAGACAGATGTCAAATTGAGCAGCTCCGGTAAAGGCCTTCACACTGAGTGTTAGTAAGGGATAACCACTGAGTACCTGCCAAGAGAAACGAGCCACGAGCACTGAGGCTGGATGGAAAGAATTCTGGCGGCCTTCCTGATCCAGCCCCTGCCCCCACCCCGGCTCGGGTCATACACTTTCCTAAACCCTAAAGCAGAAATACAGGGCAGTGTGTATCAACAAGAAAGGCCGAGACTTCATTTTCTTCTTCTATGCTCTTCCCCTCAGTCTCAGAGATGATTCAGTGGACGATTCCAGGGCCTGAAGCATCTGATACTTCCATTGTACAGGACCTTGGGACAAGCTTTAATCTAGGGTCACCTGGACCAAAATGATGAGCGTGGTGCTGGCAACAAACCGTCATTCTGAGAACCCTGGGATTCCTTCCGGGAAGGGAGGCCACGATGTGCAGCCCAAGGCATGGAGGGAGCAAGTGGTGCATATGCTTTGAACCCAGTGCTCTTAGTCAGGGAAGGCCTGGCCCCAGACCGCCCCCCTCCCCTTTTCCACCAAGCCCATAAATTGCCATGGACCCTGAGGCCAGCCACAGGCAGACACGGACACAGAGTGCCGGAGACACACCACTTGTACAAACCATTTATTTCCTGTATTGGGTTTTTACAAACTGGCAAGATAAGAACGCAGAGCTCACTGGGTGCTTCAGTGCCTGCATCTAAAAAGAATGCTGCTGGGAGGGAAGCAAGCTCTCACCTGTCAGTCCAGTCGTCCCCTCCCTGCGGGGGGGCTCGTCGGCTAGAAGGATGCTAAGGGGCTGCTACGCTGTTTGGTCCCCTGACAGAGATGCCTTCTGTTTATCTAAACTTAACTCTTCTTCTAAGGTCACTTTTATACTGAATAAAGACACTGAGATCATAAAGTTCCTTGGATGGTTTATTGTCTAATACTAGCAAATCAAATTGGCCCCATATGTGCATAAATAGATACATGTATATATATGTATATTTCATATTTTCCTTAGTTTTAAGAGCTGCCAGGTTGGGCGGTGCGTAAAGGGGACAGGAATTCATTCTGTCTTGCTATAGTCAGCCCTGCTTCAACTACATGCCTCTCTCCAAGGCAGGAGAGCACGTGTGTACAGCTTGCGACCTCAGAAAAATCTTTTAAAGTGACAGTATTCGTGTTTGATGACAGATGAATGATCAGGGAGGTAATGGGCTAATTGGGAAGGCCCTAGATTAATAATCAGGGCCATCCCCAGGTGGGTTACTCAGCCCTGGGCTTCCATCTAGCCTCCCTTCATTCATAGCAAGATGGTCTAGGCTGGGAATAGGGTGCCGGTGTCAAAGCTGGGAAGCCAGGCTTCAAATGCTGCCCTGGAGCTCTGTGCTAGATTCCAAAACCCTTGATTCCAGATCCGGACAAAAGACTTGCATTCTGCCCAAATCCCTGCAAGGCAAGAGCCCCCTGCCCACCTCGACAGTCGACACGCAGTTTGGAAGGCTGAGCTGGCTTTGTTCAGGGGCCCAGTAGCAGGGAAGTCCTTGGCAAGGCTGAGATGCACCTTGTCCGTGGGACCCTCTGGGCTGACCTCACAGTCTGGATGCCAGACTGGGGTATCATCCCCTTAACAATGGCCCCCCAGAAGAAAGGTCACAGGGGTCACAGAGATGCCATAGATGTGACCCAGACCAGAGAGGGATCAAGTGTAAAGGAGTGTGAGGAGTCCAAGGAACTTGAATGAGTCTGCACCGGAAGACCAGTGATCCCAAACCATTTCCTTTGGCCATTGCAATGTATCCTGGGTCCATCAAATAATGGGCTGACATTCTCAGTGCTGTCTGGCATAGGCTGCCATTTAACTGTCTGCCCCTTCAGGCAGAGTGATGAAGGAGGGGGTCCAGGAGCACATCTTGGGGGGCTGTGTGCCTGCCAGGGTGCACTTTTGTGCACACATCTGTAAACATTTTCTTCCAGAGGGTTCACATCCAATAACCCTAGAGGGTCACCAAGAGTTGACAGTGTAATCAAATCCTTAGACCAGGACTTGCAAGAGAATGTCCTGCCCTGGTGAGCCACTCTCCGGGTGAGCTCTGGGGACCAGCCCTTTGCAGACTGGGGGAGGGGAGGAAGGAACGGCTGGGCAGGAGGCAAGGGCGGAGGGTTGGACCTAGAGGCAGACACCCCAGTCTTTTTCTATCATTTGCCAATACCATTCAGACATTGCACGTTCTGAAAATAGATTTGCTTTTATAACAAAAGCGTAAAATAGATCTGTCTTAAAATAAGTCTTTCCTCTCCCCTTCTTTGGATCAAAAGGCATGGGGTATGACCACAATATGCGAGGAATGGTGTGGTAAGTAAAGGAGAGAAAAGGGGGCGGGGCTGGGCAGGAGTTCAGGGAAAGGATCTGACCTCCAAACAAATATATATATATATATTACATATACATCTGTAATATGTATAATCTTCAGAAAACATATATTAAGGCATGTAAAGCAACATAAAGAGCCAGCTTTATGAAACAAGAGGTGAGAGAGAGGTGGCAGAGGAGTGGACATTAATCCTTGGTATTTCAAAAAATAATCACTTAAAAAAAGAGACAGACCAAAAAGGGGAAGGCATGGGAAGCCCCGAAACATCTGTTTCTTATGGATGGAGAAGATGTGAGAGATGAAGAAGGGAGAGAGGGTTACCTGGGAGCCAACCCCATCTTCCGGTCTATGGGGGAGAAAGGGCAAGTTTGGGGGGCTAGAACTGTGCTAAAGATGGGAGATGCAGCCAAGGGTCATGTTCAAAAAACCTGCCAGAAATGAAGGTAAGTGGAATCCCCTCCATCTGGAATCCCTCAGAAGCATGAGACTATCCTCAGCACCTAGAACAGCGCCTGGTACATAAAAGGTGCTCAATAAGTACTTGTTGAATGACGTGTCATCTTTACTTGCATATGAACCAGTAACTGTCCCAGTCATGGAGGAGTGGAGAGGAACTGGTGGAAGATAAAGTAGTCGTTCTTGGGGCCGCTGGAGGTTGAGCTGAAGTCTCTGGGCAGCAACTCTGGCAAAGAGAAGGCCTAGGGGCCGAGGCTGTTCGGCTTCATTCTCATCCATCCTCTCTGGCTACATTCCTCTCGAGGTGGGCGGGGCCGAGAAGAACGGGCTTTGCTTTTGTCTCTCCACCACTGGCCCTCTGGTGGGGGTGGGCTGTGAGAGCGCCACGCTAGAAGGGACACCTGCCTTACAGCCTCAGTTTGTCCTCATCTGGGATTCCTGGGATGCAGGGGAGGGCCCCAGAACCCGGCCACGTTCCCTTTCCCTGGGACCCACTCCCAGCTGGCCCACAGCACATTCCAGGGGGAAGGAGACAAGATAATGTCACAGAAATGGTTAGGAAAGGCCCCAAGGCTGACCACATCCTCCTTAAGACAGGTCCTTCGCTCTGCTCCTGACCCTGGGATGGGGAGGCCGGCATCAGGCCCAGACCTAGAAAGAGCCGACTCCCAGGCTGCTGCCCCCAGCCCCTCAGCTCACACCGCCATCCCCGCGGCACTGTGGGGTCCTCCTGCTGGCAGCCCTGCCGATCCTGGGGACGAGGTGGGAGGAGCAAAGCTGACAGCCTGGCACTGTACTCGGTACCAGCCTAAGGCTCCATCCTGGGAAAACCAATCCCATGCCCCTTCTCATCTCCATCCTCCTCCTCCTCCTCCTCCTCCTCCTCCTCCTCCTCCTCGTGCATGCTTCCTGCTGCCTCCCTTTCCTCCCACTTTCCTGAGATCTCGCCCTCTCGCTCTGCTCCCTCTTCTCAACCTGCCCTCAGACACTGCACAGACCTGCCGCTCTCTCTCCACAGCCAGCACTGTCCTCTGGGAGCCCAGGAGCCTCTCCCCATCTCTCGTCATCTTGTCTTTGGCTCAGGCAAGGTGGTCAGTCTCCATTGGACCCCAAAGGAGCACCCGTCAGCAGAGATGCGCCAAGACCCTGGGGACAGCTGGGGCAGCAGGGCGGGTTGACGGGGGCGGGGATGATGGCAGGTGCTGTCCTCGGCGTCGGGAGGAGTCCTAAGCTAAGACAGCCCAGGGTCCGTTCCCCATCAGAGCATCTCCTCCATCAGGGAATGTTCCAGCCGGGCCATCACAACCCCAGCCAGAGGCAGGCCTGGGCTCCCTGTGCCGTGGGCATCAGACAGGATGGCGCTGCTCACCCCGCCATCTCGCGCCCTGGCCGAGGACCACCATCTGAGTAGCGAGGGCTTTGGGCCGGGCACCGTGGGTGTGTGGACACTGAGGTGCCCATGCTCCTAGCCTGGCTCCCTGCGGCACTCCCATGGGAGCGCAGAGGCAGGGAGGCCGGGGGGCCAGGGTGCGGAGCCAGGACCTCAGGTGGGCAGAGGTGGGCTTCAGAACGTGGCTCTGTGGAGCTTCATGGCGTTGGCCTTAGCCAGGGCTTGCACTGGAGAAGAAAGATACTGGTAAGAGGCGCTGCACAGGGTGGGGGAGAGGCTCCGGCCCATCCTCCCCGAGAGAAGCCTCGTCCTGCCAACACCTTGTGGAAACCGCCCACCCCCTCGACCCTGAGAGAGGGGCGCAAACAAATAGGAGTCAATTCTTGGTCACTTGCCTGAGGGCGAGAGGCTGCTTGCTAAGGGTGAAGGGACACAGCCTCGGCCTAGAGCTGTCCAACGCTATTTTAACTTATGCTAAAAGCTGGGCGTGATCTGGGAAAAATCAGATCTGGGAGAAGCTGTTTCTGGGGGCTTCTGAGGCAGGACTGCTGTGTGTCTCAACAGACAGAAGGCTTGTTGGCCAACAGGAGGTGCAGGGGCGGGGTGTTGGGAGACCCTCTGGCAGCAGGCAGGAGAGGCCTCAGCTCTGCTCCCTGTCTGCTTCTGGAGAAGTGAAGCCCACGGGCATTGCAGCATCCAAGAAGCGGCCCTGCCAGCGGGCTCTAGCCCAGCACTGCATGGGGATGCTGGCGGGCTCAAGCAGACGGGTGGAAGGGGAAGAGCAGCAAGGGGCGCTGGGGGAGAAGCAATGCCGGACAGAATGAGAGGGTGCACGCGGCTCGACGGGGTGAGGGAAGGGGCCAGTTCCCTGGGGTTCCCTGGGGTGGATGAAGTACAGTAGAAGAGTGCTTACGTCAGAGCTCAGACCCGCATGGCATGGCTGCTGTCGGCGCCCCGTGGGGATTCAGACGATAGGGGGTTGGCTGGTGGAGCCGGGGAGGCAGGGGAGGTGGGAGGGCTTGGGGTGGCACATTGCACTGGAAACAGAAACGAACAGGGAAGTGAATAGGGGCGGTGGGGGCGGGAGGAGGGAGGAGGCTGGGCGCCCAGAGCAAGCGAGGCCCTCCTCCGAGTGCGAGAGTGCGGGGAGCCAGGCGAGAGGCAAGCAGAGAGGAGAGCCGAGCTTGGGAACTTGCTCAAGCTGAAGCTGGTTTCGGGGGCGCCATGGAGGAGAGCATGGGCCCCAGGGGAGACCTGGCCGAATCCAGGCTCTGCTGAGAACCAGTGTGACTGTGGGCGAGGCCGGGCCCCTCTGAGCCTAAGGCTCCCCTTCCATCCATGCGACGGGGAGGGGCACATCCCTCTCCGCTACTGGGAGAGGGTGAGGGATGGCACTTCAGACAGTGATACTGCCAATGGTAATGATGAACAGTGCAGTAAAATCACACTCATCCAAGTCATTGGGCCCCCCTTCAGTGACTCATTCCAAGTGAAGTGATCGCCGTGTTGATCAATTCCATGGCAAAGGAGGCTTCTGACAGGCTTCCAGCCAGTCTGTTAACTTAGGCTGGAGGGTTCAGAAACAGTTCCCCACTGTCACTTGAGACCTCTTTTCATCAATCCAGGAAAGGCAAACTTCAGTCTGCCCCGAAACATCGTTATAAGCCTTAAAGTGGTGACATTTGAATGAATGAGATTTTACTCTATCATCATCATTATTCCATGTTGAGAACAGCAAAGTGAAGGGCGATGAAAGGGGGAGGGGTGTCGCCAGGGGCAGCTCTGCACAGTTCTCTGGACGCTCGTGCGCCCGTGGTGCAGCTGAGAGAGAAGGTCCTCACGCGGGCTCAGAGCAGAACCAGGCCTCAGCCAGCATCACACTGCGTTTCCTCCAAGACAGGGGTCCTGGCATTGACCTTCCCAGTCCCTTGCTTCCCACCTTACCCTGGACCTCATCCTCATCACCTTCCCTGGCCTCTGCGCAAGAGAAAGGGCAGATGCATCTCCTGTTGCACGTCTATGCACATCCGCAGATGTACATAAGACACGCAGTGCTCTCCCCGACAGGACACGGCCCACGGTCTGTGCGCGGGACCTGGCAACACCACACCTTTACGCTGCACATGACTCGGATCCGTGTGCATACGGGCACTTCTGAACCTGTGCCCTGGCACACGACTCAGCGCATTTGTCACTACCCATACAAGCACATCCACAAATGCTTTCAGAACACACATTCATGTGCCTGTCCGTCTGACAGACTCAATGGTTAATTGTCTGGCAATTTCAGCTTCTAAAACAGCCCCCAAATCAAAACCTAAGGAAGGAATAGCTCAAGGAAGCTAAGTAGGTGTTACAACGTAGGTGAGTAATTCCAATTACTCTTCCAGTTCATTCATAGAAGAGCTCCATGGAGTCCAGTTACTCTTATTTATACACAATTCTAATAGGTGCCGACTTGTCGGGTTTCTAGCCCAGAAGAGCTGAGAAACAGGAAAATGGGGAGAGAGAGAGAGGAATTGAGAGACCCACTGACATTTGAAAGAGGCACAAATGAAGAGGGGGGGAGGGTATAGCTCAAGTGGTAGAGCGCATGCTTAGCATGCACGAGGTCTTGGGTTCAATTCCCAGTACCTCCTCTAACCATAAATAAATAAACCTAATTGCCTCCCCCCACCCAAAATATATATAAAAAAAAGAAAGAGGCACAACTGAAAAGAGAAAATCTTTTGTGAAGAGTAGACACAATAATTTTAAAAGTTTGAGAGAATTTAGAAGGGCCACAAACAGACCAGGTGCCAATTACAGCCCCCAAGGGCGTCCCTTCCACAGAGGTCAGCAAAATAAGGAAGTTTATTACGATACTACGTGAGTGAGAGCCAGAAAAATTATGCTAAATACAGCTTCTTCAAGAAGGTAGAAAAATACTAAATCCACACGAGGAACATATCCATCAAAATATGCACTCACATATGCAGCAGACAGGTATGGACAGGTGCGGTATCACAGCTGTGTGTTCACAAGCATCACCGCATCTGCATGCGTACGTAGTCGGTCACACACACATTCATGAGGCTGAGCTCTCCCCATCCTGCACACGTGGGTGTATGTTCACAAACGTGCAATACGTACATTGCACACAACACACACACAAATATGTCAAATCATTCCCCATACTACAAAGAAACCCAATCACACGTAAGTCCGTGCATTCGTAAGCACTGCCTCCACCCACACACACACAGATCTACACCCCAGCAGCTCCCCAGACACCACCTGCACTCACGAATGGGGTCTCCGCACAACACACATAGACATTTTGCACACTCTTATGTTTATACATACTTGCTCCCAAATTTGTACTCAGACATTCCCTCCACTCACACACCACACACATGAACACACACACACACACACACGTACCTACAACCAGTATCACTGCACATGACGTCACACCACACAAACTTAAAGCGGCCTCATTTCCCACATACCTCACACACCAGGTATACAACCCACACCCCCACACCCGGGCACCACAGGGTGTCCGTGCCCGCTGCACCCGCACACGCGCACACACACACACAGGGCCCAGGCCCACCTGCGTGAGCCCGGAAACCATGCTTGCTGTGCCTGGCGGAGCTGTGGCTCTGGGAATCTGGGCCACAGGCCAGGGGCGGTCAGGACAGTGGGCGAAGTCCGAGGTCTAGCCCTGCCACAGTCATTTTTTAAATAGTTGGGGTTTTGGCAAAAGCAAGGTGACCGTTTGCTTTCAGCGCACAGACCCTGAAATGTAAGCCCGTGTGTATCGAGGCGGGGAACTCTGATAAGCTGGGGTGGGCTTTGTTTTCGCGGCACCTTTGGCGGGGGAGCTGCAGCAGAGAGCCAGGGGCTAGGGCAAGGGCAGAGGGGAGTTCTAACAGTGCTGTAAGCTCTAACCCTTAAAACAGGAAGCTGCCTTTTGCCCAGGGCATGTGGAATTTGATCTTTGGACGGTTCATTTTGCAGCCAAACTACAGGATGGTTGACAGAGGCCTCCTTGCAGCCAAACTGGTTCTGCTGCCTTTTGGCTGCAGGATGGGGCTCCCTGAAGCCCATCCCTTCTCGTGCCCTCAACTCCAGCTCAACTGACAGCCTGTGTCTGATCCATCTCCAAGGGATTTCCCTGGCCACCCATTCCAACATCCACGCCACCTTAACTGCTACAAGTTTCTTCCTTAAGGCTTACTTAACTCCCCTTTGTTGTAGCCTGAAACCCTCTGGTTTCTGGAAATATCCATATTTAAAATAGCTAGAAAATCCACCAAAGGTTCCTGTTTCTCCTTCAGCTGTTGCTGTTTCAACTAGTTCTACCACCAGCACCAGCATCACTGCCACTCCTTCTACAGGACTAGCAGTTCCTGAGCAGTTCCTGGCTGGTACGGTGCCAGGTGCTTAGCACGCGCTGTTTCTGATGCTCGCACCACCAGACAGATACTTTGATTCGAATTTGACAGGTGAAGGAACAGAACCTCAGAGAGCCAGAATTCAACAACTCCCCCCGTACCCCAAGTCACCAGCGTGAAACGCCATTCCCTGCACCGTGCGCCCAGCCACCACCCTAATCTGCTCGCTGCCTGATCCGGGTCCAGGCCAGCATCACCGTGACCAGCACAACCGGCCTCTGCCCCGCTCCACCCTCAGCGCTTTCCAGGCTGAGGAGGAGGGAGTGTTCAGTCTCCCAGGCTTCAGACTTAATCGCTGTCCTTCCTCCACCTCGACCCACCCTCCCGTTTACTCAGTCTCTTCCATTCTCCCCCATCACACATTCTCCTCTACTCCGGGGTGCTTCCCCTCGGGCTGGGGGTGGCGGGGGGGGGTAAATTAATCCGCTTGACTGCAGCCCCGTAGTGTCTACTCAGATCCACTAGCCTTCGTATCAGTGTGAAGTCGGTTCCTCATACTCATCCTGCTTAGAAAAGTGGGTGTGGGTCAGTAGCCCAGGTGGTGACTGGCTGCCTGTTTCATTTTTCCTTTTTAGTATCTCTTATTTGCATTCCCAAGAATGGGAAGTGGAAGAAAACCCTGGCATGGCTGGCCCTCACCCGCCACGGGCAAATACTTCTGTCTTTCCCAGTTGTGTTCGGTTATCACCTTTTCTCTGGGCCCCTCCTGGACCTGCCCGGGTAGGATGGCTCCCTGAGCTCCCCACATGGCCTCTGGCCACTCCTCCATAAAGCAGTTAGACGGGTCATCACGGCTCTGAGCTCCTGGGTGCCAGCAACTCTGGCCCCTCTGCACCCGCCTGAGCCTCGCACAGTGCCTGGTGCTCAATAAATGCTCAGCCTGCCCTGGAGGAACATCTCTCTGGCCCTGCGCCTCTCTGGCCCCGGCCCCCTTGCCACGCTGGGCCTCCTCCCTACACCTGGCCAGCCGGTCTCCCTGGCGGAGCGAGGCCCAGCCCCTCTCACCAGACAGCATGCGGCCCCGGCGGGAGGCCTCGGTCGCCAGGGCACAGGAGATTTCAATCCGCTTCTCCTGCTCCTGCAGCTGGCTCTCTGAGTCCTGGGGCACGTCCACAAGGTCCCCCTCGCCGATGGGCACCACGTTCTGCATACTGAAGAGGCACAGACACACAGACATGGAGTGGGGACAGGGTGGTTCGACGGGCTCGGGGGGCCTGCAGACTGAGGTTGGCGGAGGGGCCAGGGCCCTGTGAATGTGTAGACTCCAGGTCCCAGCAAGGCTGTCACCAGGGGTGAGTGGGACCCTGGCAGAACACATGTTGGGACCCCTACCTGCAACATTTTTAAATGAATTAGAAAGTTCAAGTGAACATTTAGGGCAGCCTTGCAGGGGGAAAGAAGGCCCCAGAGAGCAGCCCGTCAGTGTGTGCTGGTGACAGCTGTGCTGCAGCCAGTAGGTCTTTTTAGCACCGACGGCAGGGTCCCTGGCCCTGCCGTGTGCCTGGGCCCAGTCCGCTGCCTGGAGCCGCTGCTTCCTGTTGCTGCCTGCTGGGGAGGCGCAGGGCCCCCAAGCACACGGGTCCGGGTGCTGGATTCAGTGGCACTAGGTGCCAGGGTGGGCAGAGGAAGTGGAGGTTCACCAAGGAATGTTACCTGGACTTGGCAATGAGCGTCTTGATCCTCTCCACCTTCTTCTGCTTCTCCTTCAGCTCCTCTGGGCTCAGGGGAGTGTCAGGCTCCAGGTCGATGTACCGTTCAGGGATGAGGACTTTGTCTGGGGTGGAGAGCTGTGGAGGGACCAGGGTCACCGCCTGCATCCCCTCACAGGGTCTCTCCCCCCCCACCGCCCCTCCTAGACCCCGCTCACCTCCTTACTGATGTCCACATCATAGTGCTGGGGCTCCAGCTCCATTTTGCGGAGCCGGGCAATTTCCTCCCGCGGTGTCTCGTAGGCCTGCCCGCCAGGCTCCTCTGCCCGCAGAGCTGCCTCCAGGTTGGAGATGTCCACCTCATGGATGCTGCGGTGACGGCGCACCTGGGGGCGGGCCTGTCATGACCACGCAGGGCCTTTGTCCCACTGCCAGCAGCACCTCCACTGTTCCCCATGCCTCCAGGCAACCCTTCCCACACCTGGGTCCTCCATGTCCCTGTCCAGCACGCCTGACCTGGACAGCACCCCACTGTTCCCACTGCCCCCGCCGCAGACCTGCTCCTTCCATGCTGCTTGTCCAAAGCCTGCTCACCTACCGGGGCCCGGGGGTGAGCTCTCCTCACTCTCCCCCTCAGCACTCCCCTCCCTGCTGTGCCCGTGTTCACACTCGGTGCCACAGATTTTGGGCAGTTGAACCAGTATGTCTTACACTGACGTCTAATCTTTCCATGTGATAGAAATTCCAGTCCACCAACTAGAACGTAACCTGCTTGAAGGCAGGACTTACGGGTTGTAACTTTTCTGTATTGCTGAAATTTAATGGAAAGAAAACTAGGCAGATGCCTTGGGTATCTGCATTCAATAGCTTTGTGGCCCAGAATGCCCTTAATTTCTCATGACTTTGTTTCCCTATCTCTAAAATATGGAGAATACTTCCTAACCCAGCATTCTTGAAAGACCAAACGGGAGAACGTGACAGGGACTGTGAACGGTACTGCGCCACGCGATGGTGAGATTACGGTCACCTTCGGTAACCCAGCCCAGCGCTAGGCACATAGAAAATGCTCTAGAAACATGTACAAGTGAAGGCTACTTCTGGTGGTAGACTTTGCACTGTCTTCTATCAACTGAATTTTGTAGAACTCATTTCAACCAAAATAATCAAGGCATTCCTTTTAGCGAGTTATTATTCTTGAATCACAAAAAAGGAAACACTTGTTGCAGGTGTCTCTTCCCGTCAGCAGGGAGAAGCCTCCCCCAGGTCTCCCAGGAGCCCAGCTTGGGTCCTCCCCAGCCCCTCCCTTCCAAAGACCTCTTCCCTCCCCGCCACCCCTCCCAGGCTGGCCACACCCCGGGAGCCTGCAGAAGCCGGGCATGCCTGTGGGGGCTGGGAGGACGTTACCACTTTGTAGGCGGGCCGGGTGCTGGGGTCGGGGGCCGGGCTGGCTGGGAGCTGCAGGCTCCTCCGTTTATCCTTCATGGAGCCACTCTGGTGCCTCCGCATGCGGTCGATCTGCTCCTCCACGCTCATCTTGACCTTGCCCTCGCCAGGAAACACAGCACTCTTGGGGCGCTCCTGCTGCAGTGGGAGAATGGGGCTCTACTGGGCGCCTCAGCCCCCACACCCAGCTTTTCATCAGCCTTCATCCCTTAACATTTCCCTTCTCTGGGAAGCCTGCCTGTGATGGGCTGAAGAGTGGACCCCAAAAGGTACGCCCAAGTCCTAACCGCAGTACCTGTGAATGTGACCTTTGGAAATAGGGTCTTTGCAGACGGAATTAAGTTAAGGATCCCAAGATAAGATCTTCCTGAATTAGGGTGAGCCCTAAAGTGAATGATGGGGGTCCTTATAAGAAACAGAAAAAAAAAGAAGACACGTAAGAGTAGAAGGTGATGTCTGGATATGGACTTTGGCCTCCACACCGGTGAGCCAATAACCTTCTGTTGTTTTAAGTCACCAAGTCTGCGATGTCTCGTTAACTTCCTAGCAACCCCAGCAAACCACCGCAGTGCCTCGGGTCAGCACGTTTGACTCCGACCACTGACTTTTGCGTTTGTATTTCATCACCAGCACATTATCATCATTTTGTTAAATATTCTCGAATCTTTATTATGTGTATCTTCCTTGTCCCTGGACATGTCTCCTTGAAGGAGAACTCCTTCACTTGCCCCACCTGCCTCTGCCAGCCCTGGGATTCTTGAACAGTGACAGATGGGTGGACACACAGAGGCCCCCAGGCTCCCAGCCCAGCTGGGGCTCTCGGGCCCGCGGGCTGCACTCACCCGGGAGGAGAGTCCATTGGTGAGCATGTTGGTGGTCCTCCTCACCACCCTTGACGGGGTCATCTCTTCATCCGAGGGTGACTTTGTCCGGGGGGGCACAATGCCAACTGCAGGGAGACACAGTAGCCAGCGGGCCTCACAAACAGCAGGAAGTCAGGGACACGGGGGCGCCTGCTTCTCGGAGAGGCTCAGTTCCACCCAGCGTGGAGGTGGAAGACCTCGGGTGGGGAAGCCCCTCTTCGGACGTGAATGAGCACCTCTCTGGGCTCCTCTCTGAGCCTTAGCCTCATGTCTAGGGGAGGACGGGACGGGAGGTACCTTTGTTGAGAGCTGCCTGCTTCTCTGCCTCCACCTCTTGCCTGGTGGGCACAAGGCTGATGTCTTTAGTGGTGTCCAGGGGTGATGTCTGGTGGGGGTCTTTCTTGCTTGGCTCATAGCTTGCCTTGGGCTGGGAAGAAAGAATGAGAGGATGAGTGATGCTAGCACGACCACTGAGAATTTGGCCCCGGTGGTGTTTCTTTTGCAGTGGCTGGAGAGCAAACCCTTATAAACACACGGGGTGGGGAAACTGTGTGCCAGTTGGGGAGTGGGCACCGGAGCCTCCGGCCATGCCACCTGAAGACTGGTGGAAGCGGGGCCATCTTGAGGAATGAGGACTCGGGGGCCCCAGGGAGCCCCTCAGCTGAGGCCCATTGGAGACATCCCTCAGCTTGACCAGCCCTCCTGGCAAACACCAGAAGCACAGATCGTGAGCCAGAGGAGGAATGGCCAGAGGAGGGGACTACAAGGATCTCTGAAAATTCTGTTGGGACCTCACCTAAGACTGGAGCAAAGGAACCAGATGAGCTTTGGGGGAAGGAAAGGGGCATTTAGGTTGTAGGTTCACAGGATCATGTGACCAGAAAGGGACCTCAGACATCATCTGAACCATCCTCTCCTGCAGCTGAAGAATCTGAGTCTCAGTGAGGGGAACACAGAGAGAAGATGAGGCCAGAGGTCAGAATCTTCAGCTCCAGCCCAACTACAGATCATTGGTAAGTCCCACCACCTTTCTCTGTCTGTACAACTGAGGTGACAGTACCTGCCTGCTCTGCCCACCTCAATGGGCAGACCCTCAAGGGTTGTGCATGTTACCAGTAGCTGAGCTTGGGTGACAGTACGGGTTTTCCAATTTTAGCCCTCTTTCTACTCACCATGCAACCTCTTCCAAGCCTAACTGCACATTTCTCCTGGATCTTAGCCAGGGATCCAGGTGAGAGAAGGAGACAGAAGAGGGGAGCAAAGGGTCTCTATCCTTATGCTCAGAGGACGTAGACAAGGCAGAGACATAGACAAGGGGAGAGAGAGAGCAAGAGGTCTGGGGTCTGAGGTGGACAAGAGCAGGAAGGGACTGGATGGCACAGGCGGGGGTTGGGGGAGTGGTCACTGGATTTTCCATCATCAGGTAGGGGGTGGGGCGCAACCCACCACCCACAGCCATGGGCTGCCACGTGGCCACTGTCCATAGGAAGCCAAAAAGGGGGAAAAGGGGACAGTATGAGGGTCTTAATCATCCCTTTCCTCATCCCAGAGTCCAACTGGACAGAAGGCCAGTAGAAGCTGTGGGGACACTGGAATGGGGACAGTGATTCGGTCCCCTGCCTGGCCCTGTTCCCTCCGTCCCTGCCCTCCAGGACCCAAGGGTGCTGGGTACCTGACCCCTGGCTGTCTCGCCACCGCGGTGCCAGGAAGGGGAGGTGGGGTATGGCCAGAGGCGGCTTTCGCTAGGGAGTGGAGGCACGGTGGGAGGAGACTCCAGGGGGACGTAGGCTTTGGGGAGGGGAGGCCGTGGCGGGCCGGGCTCCTGAGGCAGAGAGAAGCCAGAGCGTTAGGAGAGCAAGAGCAGCCGCTGTGAGAGCAGAAGAAAAGAGCATTAGCAGGAGGCAGACAATGACGTGGCTGGAGACAGGGGCGGCCCCCACACCACCGGACCCCCACCCCCGGGCCTGGATGGAGCGCCAGCTCCAGAGCCAACCCTGCCTGGCCTCCAAGGCCCTCCCCTGCTGAGCCCCCACCTGTGCACTGGTCCCCAGTTTTTCTCCAGAGCTCTCTCCTCATCGCCTCCCCGTGACCAGTGGGCACATCCCAGGCCCGCACCTTCGCTCTGCCATCTCTCCTGCCTGTAATGCTCTTTCCCTGGTTCCTCCACCCGTCCCAATGTGTAAGGAACATCAGAGCATTTACAATCTGAACCACATGGCTCAATATTGAGAAATTAGGCCACCATGTTCCAGAGGAGGGCTATTCACTGTGAATCGGTCTTGACCCCCATTGGACGCTGGGTGGGGTCAAGGCCCTCGGGCATCTTTCTGAGAGGGCCTTACACCATGCCTTGCCCAGAGTATAGCCTTGGAAAACACTTGCTGACTGACTAGGAAAATGCTCCCCACACTGACCCGCAACCTTCCCCCCAACGCCGAACAGATCTAGGTTTAAATTCCTGTTAAGTGTTTGGTCTCTTTGCTAACCAGCCTGGTACCCAGGAGACTTCCCTGAAAGGCAACTAAAGATGACAGCTGGAGATGAGAGCAGGTAAAGGAGAAAGCTGGAGGGAAGGTCACCAGACTGGGAGTGAGAATGACCACCTTAGGCTGGGAGACAAAGCCCTAGGACTGGAGGCCTCCGGGGAAGAGATGGGCACAGAATTTGCGTAGTTTCAGGCAAATGAGGACCTGGTCCTCCCTCCCCCACCTACCTTCTACTCCATCATCTCCGCTTACCTCACTGGATCCGGGCTTGGTGGGGGACCCCTGAGAGCCAGATACCAGCGAAAAGGGGCTCAGGGGGCTGGTGAGGCTGGCGGAGCTGAGAGGGCTGGCGGGGCTGTTGGAGCTGTAGGTGGCTGAGGGGCCAAGTCCTCCTTGGGGGAAGCAGAAGAGGAGACAGGTGAGGCAAAGGGAAGTGGTGTGGCCTGGAGTGTGGCTGGGCTCTGCAGGTGGGGGAGGCTGGGGAGGACTTCGTGTCTCAGGGCCACCTGGGTCTGCTGAAGGGACTTAAGACAGGGGCTGGGTGGCAGGCTGGCTGTTGAGAGGTGAGCTGGGCAGGGGAAGATGACGGATGTAAATGACCCTACTGCCTCCAGGTGTCACCGAAAGCCAGCCCAGGGTCCCAGGGCTGAAGGAAGATACTCAGGTAGTGGTCTCACATCACCAACAGGCCCCCGGGCTTAGGGCCTGGTGAGCTGCAGGTGCTCTTTGACCCGTCCTGGGGAGGAGTCTAGATTCAGGATGACAGCATCTCTGATTGGTTTATTCTGGGACGGGGCAGGGGGGTGGTAGACCAGGGAGCCCTACCTGCCTACCATCCCAGGGCCCTGGGGAGAATTCTGGAGCCCCGAAAAGGCCCCGACTGGCTCTGAGCACAGTGCGAGGGCCTGGAGGGAGAGGTGTGAGTTGGCAGGTGTGGGATGAAGGCCAGAGATGCCTGGAGCTTTTCTGGTGAGGCGAGAAGCCCAGGAGGCTGGTGGAGGGAGCACTCACCTCTGTGCTTGGCCGTGTCTGTGCCCCGGGAGGGGTTATTCTTCCTCAGCCCCTCCATCACATCCTGGATCCTCCAGATCTCCTTCTGGATTTGCCGGCTGAGCACCTCATTCTGAAACAGCCACAGAGCAGGTCAAAGGAAGTGACTGCTAAGGAGCACCCCAGCCTTCTCCCCCATCGGGTTGGACCAGCGGTAGGTAGGAGCCTGCACGCGCACACACACCCTGCCCCACTGGTTCCTCCAACACATTTATCTTTCTCGGGGGCAGCCTCTGCCTCTTCAGCGTCTACGAAACAGAGCTCTGGAATTGCCCGAGAACAGGGCTCTGTCATCACAGTAAAAAGCCCGTCTGGGTAAACATGTGGTTTCAGAATCAAGAGAGTGAGGACCTGCCCCTCTGATTCTGTGCCCCACCCCTCAAGGGGGGCTCAGGGTGGTCTTGGAGCGAGTGCCCCTCTGGGTTGACACTTGATGGTGACCTATTTTCCAGGGGCGAGAGCTTCTAGTTTATTGTCTTTTTTTTCCATCCAAATAGCCCTTTTGTAATACCTACACTCAACCTACACACATGAATTCTATTCAGTTACAGTGTCCACTCTTTGAAAAATTACAGCTACATTTTATGTAGCATCTCCCCACCGCACACCTGTGCTGAGTGCCCTGCAGACACGAGTTCACTGTGGCTGCCACACTGCACACGTCTCCGAGGCAAGGGCAGAGGCTGGCCCCCCTTCAGAGGTGCAGAGGCTCACACCCTGGGCTGTCTGTTAGTAAGCAGTGCGACCACCATCTGAATCGGGGTCTGTTTGGCTCAAGAGCTGGTGCTCTCGACCACGACACTATCCTGCCTCCTAAAATGTGCATGTTGACAGTGAGGCTTGCTCAAGGGACGTGGGTGGCATTTGGGGCCCCTGGTTCGGAGGCCCTTCTCCCCACCCACCTAACCAGCTGCCAGGTTGGTGGTGGGTTTTGTTACCAGGATGGAAACAGGAAGAAAATGGGGGAAACCAGGGTGTTAACTGCATCAGAGAGACAGAGCTTGCCAAGGGAGCTGGAGGAAGGGCAGAGCCCAGGGAGAGAAAAGACAGAGGGAGGAAAAGATGAAGAATGCCCCCAGAATGTCCATCTTCCTGCCTCCAAGCAGAGTGTTTCTGACCCACCTCCGAAAGGAGGACCTCTGTCCCATCTAAACCCCCCCCCCCAGTGGATCATCCCCACACTGTGATCTCTTCTGATGTCACCAGGGAGATTTGTATTTATATTTCTACCTGGGGTCTGGCCGGTCTGGGGAAGGGGACACAGAGGGAAGGGAGAGGGCACGGGGCAGAGACACTCTGATGACAGCACAGGCCTCCTAGGAGGCCCAGCAGCCCATCCTGCTGGTAAATCCTTTCAGTCATAAAGCACCTTACTTCTAGTCTCCCATGCTGTGGCTTTCCCTCTCCCCCCGTGATCTGACGGAACCAAAGGGGAATCTCACACTATCTTCACCCTGGAACTCAAAGAGTCTATTTTAAGACGCCCTAGCCTTGTCTTTTGTCTTGGGACCAACTCCTTGTCTCAAGTCTCTGAAAGCTCTAAAGCAGGAAAGCAAGCCACTTTGGTCCCTTTGGGCCAAAAGGACAAAGGAGGGCCCGCGGCCCCCAGCAGCCCGCCTGCCTGGGGGCCCTCTTCACCTGGAGGTCCAAGCTGAGCTGCTCCCAGAGCTCGTCATGCAGGGCGGAGACCTCTGACTCCAGGCCCTCGTATTCCACGGTGCTGTTCGCCAGGGCCTGCGGGGTGGGGGTGTGTGGGGGATGCTCACTGAGAAGCTGCAAGTGCCAAACCAGCTCCTCGTCCTGCCTCAGGGCCTGGGGCCCGGGTACCTGGGGTCTGGCCGGTCTGGGGAGGAGGACACAGAGGTACGGGAGAGGGCACGGGGCGGGGACACTCTGATGACAGCAAAACACTGGCCTTCTAGGAGACACAACAGCCCATCCCTCTGCACGCTAAAGAGAGGAAATGGAAGACTCTCCACGTGGCAGGCAGGAAAGAGCCAGATGTGGCTGCTCTCAGGAGGTTAGAGACCTTCCTCCTCTCTGCGCCACGTTTTCCTGCAGCCTTTGCTGCTGCCCCCAGAGCTATTCCCCAGGTAGTCTGTGCTGGGGGCTCTGCCCTGCGCGCGCTGGGAGGTAACTGGGCAGCATGTTGCCGGTGCCCTGGTTCCCCAGGAGAGAAGAGGAGGTGGGCAGCAGAGCTGTCAGAGCAGCCAAGGAAGTAGGTGCCCCTCGACTTTGCGTGTGCTGAACGAGTCCTGCTGCAGGTACGGCTTTTGGGAAACGAGCTAGTCTCCCAGGGACAAGTAGGCTGGCGTGTTTGCTGCCCCTTTGCAAGGCAGCGTTAAGTGTCACACCGCTCCCAGAGAGGCACCCTGCCCGTGCCCTCCGAGGAGAATCGGGGTTAGGAGAGCGCAGCCTGGAAGGGGTGGCTGCCCGCTGGCGCCGACCGGGGCTGGGGGCACAGAGCCGGCCCCGGTACCGTAGTGGCCTGCGACAGCTCCACCCGGATGTTGATCAGCTGGTTCTGCAGCGACTCCTTCTTGTGCAGCAGCTTCTCCGGGTAGGCGGGCTGGCTTCCAAACATCTCCAGCTCCTGGTGGGTCCCCATCAAGGCACTTTCCAGGCTCTCCTGAAGAACGGCAGGGAGATGGCTGTGAGCAGCCCTGATATCTCCTCTCGGGGACTTGGAGCAGCTGAGGCCTGAGCCTTAGGGGTTCCGCCAGGCAGCTTAGTGGAGGTGGTCCTCACACTAGCTCAGGTCCCCAGAGGAGCTTCAGCACTTCCAACTAAGAGTAGGACAGAAGCTTAAGAAAGGACAAAGCTTCGTCAGCTTAGTCAGGATAGAGACAGCAACCCGCACCTTCTCCAGGCCAGTCCCCCCATGTGCCCCCATTCACGGCCACCTCACAGATCTCACCTTCTCAGCTCGGAGCTGCTGCACCAGCCGGTCCTGCTCCCTCACCACCTTGTTCTGCTCACATAACTTGCCCAGCAGCTTCTGGGGTCCCGAGGGGGTGGGGGGAAGGGAAGGAGAGAGAAGGAGTGAAGGACATGGTTTGATGGGGACCCGGGAACTGGGTCGGCAGGGCCATGCCTCTGGATACCACCTCCTCACCCGTGCCGAGTGAGGAACCCCGGGCCTCCACCTTGACCTTGGAGGCTCCTGGGAACAGGAAGATGGTCTTCACCTTGAGAGACTCCCCAAAGACCCACTGGGAGAGAAGACACGCTTATGCTCTGAGGAAGTAAGTCAGCTTGACAGAGGAGAGGCCTAAGAGCCAGATATTAAGATCCTACACTCCCATCCTCCCGAGGTTCCAGCTCGCAAGGGGCTGAGAAGACACCATGGCCTTGCTTCCTGGGCCTCTAGGTGGGCATGGATGGGAGAGGTAGGCTGGGTTTCTGAACAACAGTCTTAGAAAACCTAGTGAATGATGTAAACTGGTCACCCAGTCCCACAGGCCCCTGTGCTCCCCTCCCACCCCCAGAGTCTCAGGATGGCTGATGCTGGGGTCCCTCTGAGGTGTGGTCCTTGCCTGGATGGAGCCTCTCCCATGCCTATTGGACAGATCTGCTACCCAGGCCAGGCCAGTGGGAAGAGGCAGGCTAGGCCAAACTTCTCTTCTGGGAAGACCTGTGCTTTCCTGAGACCACATCTTTATCCAGGCCACTCCTCAAATACCCACTTAGCTCCTTTCTGTTGAGCCAAGTCTTGTCCTCTGGGGCTTTTACTTCAAGGCCCAGCTCACATACCACCTGCTTTGTCCTGGCCCACCAGCCCACAGGTCGCACTGCCCTGCACTCCTGCAGACCCTATTGCTGTTTGCTCAGCGTATGAACCACCTGCTGCTGCCTGATGCTACTGGCATCTCTGGCTACCCAGCAACCCCCTGAGGGCTGGGCAGGGCCCTGTTCTGCTTTCCAGGGCCCCAGGGACCACACCAGGCTGGGCACCGAGCAGACTGCTCTACCTCCTGACAAAGCTTTGCATTCCGGTTACCAGCAGACACCAGGGCTGTGGCTAACAGGGCCTCGAGGTCAGTGGAGACACACACGGCCATCGTGGGAGGCAGGGGTGAGTGGTGAGGAGAAGAGGGGCACGAGGAGGGACACGCAGAATGTTGTCTTTGCGGCGAGAGAGGACATGAATCGAATGTACGAAGGGCCACAGGAGGAAGAGAGATGGACAGAGGAAAGGCTCCCCCAGAAGAGCGCGAGGAGGAGGCGGCGGCGGCAGCGGGAGGGGCTGGAGTGGGCAGAGGGGGAGCAGGAGAGCTGCTCTTACATCTGTGTCTTGCTCGTTTAACTTGTAGGTGTGGAGGCTGTCCCGGAACACTTCTGGGTACGGAGGGACCTGCAGGAACAGGAGGCGGGTTACTGCAGCCGGGGACAGACGGGGGCGTGTGGTGAGGGAGAGCTCACCACCCTGGCTCCACTCCTGCCGCAGACCACCATTCATCCCTTCAGGCAGCATCCGTTCGGGGACCTGAGCTGAGCTAGTTCTCTGTCTCCTGGCTGGAAAGTGGGACCACCGGGCCTAAGCTCCATCCGGACCGTCTGGGGCTGATTCTGACGGTAGAGACGCCGCGTAAATCGTGTTTTGCATCTTCTCCCCACTGAGCCCTAGGGTCTCCTGCCGGGAGGGACGCCCGGGCTGTGGCTCCCAGATGGCTTACTGGTAACAAGCGTGAGAACACCAGTTAAGTCCTGGCATTCCCGAGGGGAGGACCTGGGAAGACGCAACGCGCGTTGGAAGCGTTTGAGAACTGCCCTGGTGCACTGAGCGCCAGTCACAGGGCTGGTGCCTAAACCAGGAGGGCCTCTCGGTCCAGCCAAGGCGGCCTGCCCTTGGTGACACATGCAGCAACCACAGCACGTTCCACACACCCCCCTCATGCCCTGAACCAAACACGAGACAGGAGTCCTGGACATTAAGGCAGACTGGCAGTCCCCGGCGTGGCATGAGATGTCAGTGCTGGCTGTTTGGATGGTTTGGGAAATGGGCCTTGGGTTCACTCATGAACGTGAAGAATGGAGGAGACACAGTGGAATTAAAGGAGGGCGACCAGGCTGAGGCTGGGAGATGAGGCCTGGCGGGTGAGCAGGCGGACGGAGCAAGCCCCATCCCCGAGGGACGACCCGACCATGCAGGAGCCGCTGAAATGGCGTGGACGGGACCGCGCTGCCGGCGGAGGTCTTACTTGCATGAAGAGCTGGGCCCTGGGGGAGGAGTTTTCCACCATGTGGTTCACCATACTGATGAGAGTCTCACTCTCACTCATCTGCGGCAGAGGAAGGAACGGACGACTCAAACTCAGCCCCACAGAGAGCCGGCTCCCCCACGCGTGCCTCTGCTCTGCTTTCCGGGAGACAGGACAGGGCCGCCGCTGCGGAGGCCTCCAGCACCCTCTGCCTGGCCCCGCCCGCCGCTCACCGCGTGCGAACTCCATCTCGGAAGCTGCCCTTGAGGAAAGGCCACAGAAGGGAGCTGCAAGGTTACTGTGTTCTGGCTCTCGGCTCCGAAGAGGCCCCCGGCTCAGTGCCACTTCCCCAGGGTGCCTGAGCGTGGTGGGCCTCAGCCCCTTGGCCCAGCTCTAATTTCTCACACTGATTTGGTCAAAGACCACACAAGGCAGTTGAAAAGGCTGATTTCCCCAAATCTGAACTAAATGAAACGGCTTAAAAAGGAAACCTGGGACCTGCGCTTTGGACGGGTTTTCACAGTGGGTGGTGGCAGGTCTCTGTCCCTGCCCCCTGCCCCTCCTCTGCTCTAGAGTAGAAAGGATTGCTAAACATGGTTTCCAGAGCTGGGCTGGTAGCATCCAGGCTGATCTTGGATGGCGCCGGGTAGCAAATAAGGAAGCCAAAACAAGCAAGCCGTGTTAAAGGGACGCCAGATACTGGGACACTGCTCTCCCAACTGGTTATCTTTGTGCTTCAAGGATCATTAGAACATGGTGGGGGAAACACTATTTGCCAAATGAAAAAAGAGTGAGAAGGAAGAGGGGGGAGGGGGAGGGGGAGGGGGAGGGAGGGAGGACGAGCCAACCCAGCCAACCAGAAATGCCATCGTTTCCCCCCCTGGTTCCAGTGAGACAGCCTCAGACGTAAATGTAGTACGGAGTGTCCCTGGCTATGTCCCTTTAACTCAGTTGATCTCCAGGAGAAGGCAGCAGAAGACAGAAGGGAGCTGTACAGGAGAAGCTTCCTGGGGAGGGGAAGTGAGTAAGGGGAAGGGATGGGGCCACCTTAGGGCAGATCTTCTGGGGTCACAGTTCGGTGGTCTCCACGTTTTCTGCCCTTGTCTTCCCAGTCTTTCTTGGACCCACATACATTTCCCTCTTACCCCGTTTAGTTGGCAGCTCCCAGGCAGCCTGGCCTCTGCGTGCCGTGGACAGGGTCGGGCGGTCACCACCCACCCCCATTCACGGGGCTACAGCATATTAAAACGTTTTCCTCGGATCTGCTTTTTCTACTTCTTTAGCCCAGTTGGAAGTGTTTTTCCAAGATATAAAAGGCTTTCAAAAGAGCAACAATACTACGAGGTTGAGTCTTTGTAAAAATGGCTAAAAGTCAACAGGCCGTCGACGACATTTTCTTGTAAGGGTCTGAAGTCAAGTCAGTCTCCGTCTTCTTAGAGCCCATACGTGTGTGTGTGTGTGAATGAGATTGTGTTTATTGTATGTGGGGTGTGCCTGCGTGGTGTAGGTGCGATTGCATGTGGTATGTGTGTCTGTGTGTGTCCACGTCTGCTGCCTGTGTGTCACGCCTGTGTCCTGTGTGTGGCGTGTGCATGCGTGTGCATGTGTGTATGTGTGCGTGTGCGTGTGTAGGAAAAGGCAGATCTACTAACAATCAGGATTTGAGAGGGCGAGGGACGCCCAGGGGCTCCCTGGTCACGCACAGAGCCCATTCCTTCCCCAGCCGATGGCTCTAAAGCAATGAAGGAAGCCGGAACATTCTCCCCCTGGCCCGCTGCCTCCCATGCTGGGGACCTGTCAGCCCACGGAGGCCTTGTCTCTGGGAGGGTTCCTGTGTGCCACCTTCTGTCTCTCCAAAATGTTAGAGAAATTTTGCGAAAAAGCACCGAACCTGGAGCCTGATACATAGCAAGGGTGGTCTACTAATATTTTTGAGTTTTTCGGAAAAAAGAACAATAAAATAATCACCTCAGCCATCACCCCCCGCCCCCCGGTGCGTGACAAAGTACACTCACAGAAAGCCTCACTCAGCCTCCCAGTAACTCTGTGAGGCAGAAAGGGCAGGTTCTCCAGTGTCCGTTTCATGACTGAGAAAACAAAGACCCGGAGAGACCAAGTGACATTTCCAAGGTTAAAAAAAAATCGCTGTAAATGGCACAGCTGGAATTAGAGCACAGTGTCTGACCGCGTTCCGGACTCTTCTTATCATACAAAAATGCCTTTTAAAAGATATTATCCTTTGCCTAGGAGGAGGTCCCCTGAAAGGTTATTTCTGAAGCCCCCAAGCTAAAGGCAGAAGCCCCCAGGAAGGGGAACTGCTGTCTACACTGAATGCTGGGACAGCAGAGTGGATGGGCCGCAGGGAGGGAAGCCCGCCCCGGAGCCCTGCTCCTCCCCACCCAGCCACTGTGTACCCTGCGTCCTGCCCATGCTTCCCAGCCCCGCTCAGCTCGGCACCCGGGGACTCACCCCCACGTGGACTGGAGCGTTCATGGTGGGGACACCACACACTCCTCGTGGGACCAAGATGCAACGCCGCTGAGGGCCGGGAGCCATCGCTGCTGATTAGAGTGTGGATACCCGTGTTTCCCGACGCCCAGGGTCTTCTATGAGGGTGACCTCCCTGAGACACGAAGACCCCGTGGGAGGAGGGCCACATGGCTTGTGACTAGAGCCACCAGCAGTAGCAGCCATGTCCTTGGATATCAAGTGATGGTTCTCTCTGCACCGCTAAGAGGCACAGAACCTCCCCATGGCAGCTGTAAACTGAGTCGAAAGCTCAGAGTCATGCCCAAGCTCTGCCAGCCACAGGTGTGCGCAGACACAGCCTTGGCGTATTACTTGATCTCTCTGGGCTTTAGTTTCAGCAGCTGCAAAATGCAAATAATACCAATGCCTACTCTGCAGAGTTACAAAGAGTAAATGAATGAGGGTCTGTGAAGTGCTTAGAATGGTGTGTGGCACAGAGGAAGCACCCAATTATGGTATCTGCTGCTGCTATTATTATTATTATTTCTACTGTCATTAGCATTTCCACCACCCCAGGCTGCCTCCACAGGACAACGGTGTGCACGTCCAAGTCCCCCATGCTTCGTAGCACAGATCCGAGCATGAGCGTGTGCTCATATAAATGCCCAGCGTACTGACCCTTGGCGTGTCTAAACCCCTGTGGGCATCACGGCCTCCTTGTCCTCAAAAGGCCAGGCAGCCAAAGGCGGGAGCCCAGGAGCTCACTGCTTCCATCGCACAGGGACACTCACTGCCTCTTCAGGATGCTCGCCTGTAAAGCGGGGCTGATAACACTCCCTCTGTCTGCAGCATTGAATTCTCAGGAAAACATGAGCCGTGCATCCCCCAAAACTTTGCGGAGCACTAACAAATACTGAATTCACATGATTTAAAAAAATCACCCGAGGGCAGGCCTGCCGTCCTTGGTTTACAAATTATGGAGTTTAACCACAACCTGTGGAACAGGAAAGGATAATTTCCCAGATTCAGGCTAAACTAAACCCCTAGCCTCTTAGGCCTGAGCCCAGAGTCCCTCCCTGTCTCTGCAACTCTCTTCGGCAAATATGCAAATTCCCACCTGCCCCCTGGGGGCGGCTCCATCTGGGCTAAACAAACAGGAGTTGGCATTAATTATTCATGTGGTCATTTATTATTCTCCCGTCCCCAGGAAACTCCCAGCTGCCCTAAAGGGCTTTGAGGAGAAGGGGGTGTGAAGGCGCAAACCAAAATATAAGCCACTTTGTTGTGTCCTGGTCGTCCCAACAAAGGCTGTCAAATGGATGGAGGATGAGGAGGTGGGGCGGAGCAGGGAGAGGTGATGGGAAGACAGGGGGATGGCGAGGGGGGCACCAGCTCTGCCTACCTGCTGATCCAAATACTCTAGGTTTCTTTGCAATTGAAGGTCTAAAAGTTCATCCTACCCGGGAGCCCGAGGCCCAACGGGAACACAAACAAACAGGAACACGACAGAAGAAAACAATAAAAAGGAAGCAAAGCGGTTAAGAGTTAGCTGGGCAGCGACAAAGGCCTCTCTGACCTTGAGGAGCTCTGGGGAAGGGAAGGGATGAGGATGCGGGCAGCCACAGAGGCCGCCTGCTGGACGCGCCCAGAGAGAGGAGGGACACACCCTCGTGGCTCCCGGGTGGGCCTGGCCCTCCCGGGAGAGGAAAGCACCATGGTGGCCATCTAGCCAGCACTTCCTAGCAGCTGTCTCTGACTTCTCTGGAAAATTCCATTGTTTTGGGAGGGTGCATTTGCCGGGTGTCAAGGCTATAGAGTTTGGACACTGGCAGGGGAGAGTCAGAGGGAGCGGAGTCGGTCAGCCACAGGTCTCTGGGGACAGGGACGTGCCGGGTGGCTCACTGGTTCTCCCCAACTGTTCAAGTGGAACATCCGTGTCTAGTTCTCCGAGTGGACAGAAGATTTCTCAGGAGAACAAATTCCAGGAAGAAACATAAGTAGAAAGGGGAGAGAAAGTAGGAGGAGACACAATATGGGAACTTTTTTCCTCAATCCCATCTCTCGTCTCCTTCCCCAAAAGTGGCATTCAAGGCAAGGGCAGGCTGGAAGCAAGCACGCTTCGTGGGGAGACTAGAAGATTGTGCCTGTTTTGGGAGCTCTAGCCTGGCTTTTCTTCCCAGCCCATAACCTAAGCGCCCTTAGGAGAGGAGGTCCAAGCCCCCTGCACGCCGGAGAGGGGGACGGTTCTGAGGTCGAGATGATGGGGACACTTCGCATTTCCAGATCTCGTCCCTGCTCCTCTACCGTGTCACAGAGGAGGAGGAGTAACAGGCACCAAACTCCAGACCAGAGTCAGAGCCCAGGCCAAACGGGAGGTGGCATCCAGAAGCTGCCCCAAACCAGAGGAGCCAGGACCTGGGCACGGAGCATCCCTGCGTCTGCCCTAGCGTGGCCCCGCCCTGGGAGGAGAGGTCCTGAGGGGAGGTGGGCTGGGAGGAGAGGACATACCATCTTATCGTGGACCGTGGGGGACGGCGGGTAGTTGTAGGGGAACAGCCCTGCAGGGACTGGCCGCCTGTCTCCCAGGTAATCATACTGGAAGAGAAAGGGGAGTGGAGAGGTGAGGGGGTCTGGCTGGGACAAGGACTTCCCCACCAACTGAAGTTCAAGGTTAGGGATGCTTGTATCTTGTCCCAGAGCAGATTTCAAACTAAAATGGACAGCATTTATGCACTGCAATGTTTTTGCAATGATCTGTCCAGGTCCTCGAGATTTGACAAGATAGAACCTCTCTGCCCTCTTATATAGATTTAGGGTTCATGACAGAGCCTGGGGACAGGCACAGAGAGCAGTGTCCCTACTCAGGGGCAAAGCAAAAACCCCAAGGCAGCTCTCCTATGGACAGAACCACAGGGCTAATGGCTCCCTGGGGGCTGCATCGCTGGTCCTGCTGACACGGCCCGGTGACTCCACATCCCCAGATGCCCTTGCATCTCCACTTCTTCTCAGCAAATGGACTTAGGCCTCTGGGGGGATCTCAGGGGATGAGGAAGGAGGGGAAGGCTGGTGGCTCACCTTAGGGGAGCTGATGGATCGCCTCATCACATAGGCAGCAGGGTCAGCATAGATGTCCTCACTGCGAGGTGGCAGCCGCTCAAAACGGGCACTGGGTGAGCGGACGGGGGAGTAAATGCGGGCGCGGCCGTAGGAGCCCTGGCTGGGCGAGCGGGGCACGGAGTGGGAACGGGGCTGCAAGGACAGGCGGCGCAGGGAGCCGGAGGCAGCATCCAGCTCATCATAATAGACGGGCTGCCGGGAGGGGCTGGGGATCCAGACGGTGCCGTCCTGCCGCCCATAGCCAGCAGGCTCCTTCCACTCACGCAGCTGGAAGGCGGGGCCGCCTCCGTTCCGGAAGGAGTGACGCTTGTCCTCCAGCACCCAGGGCGGGCTGATCCGATCGTAGGCCGGCATCGAGCAGATGCTGTCGGGCCGCACGCCTGGCGGGTAGGGCTGGTAGTCGTCAGGGTACTGGGAGGAGTAGGGGTTGTAATACTCAGGGACCCTACGGGACACGGGGTAGAACCTGGAGGGACTGAGAGACAGAGGACACTGTAAGTAAGCCAGACAGCATGGGCACGTCCCCAGCCACCTGCCTGGGCCCCGGCCCCACCTCCATGCCATCCAGCCTAGAGCATATCTGACTAGGTGGTGGAGCCCCGGGCTGACCCTCAGAGCCCAGGCACTGAACCCTGTTTGCAAAGGTGCAAGGGAAGACCCACCCCCAAAGCCCCCTCCCTCAACCAGCTCCTTGAGGACAGAAATTTCACCATTTGAAGCTTCCATCTTTGTCTCTTTAAAATGAAATACCCCTGGGGAGAAGCTTGAAGCCTTGTTAGCCATCTCGATCTCAGCATGAACCAACTTATCAGACCCTTTCCAGAGAGGCAAATAGTAGAAGGAGTGCAAGAGTACCAGACACCCGGAGCTGAGCAGCAGAGGAGCACAAAGGGGAGGCTTCCCTGACTTTATGATCTTGTCAAGGACAGAACCAGTAGGTTCCTGGGACGTTACCCGAGCGAGGCGCTCTCCTCAGGGCAGGCCAGCCCAGCAGCCGTGAGCTGCCCTCCTGAGGCTGCTACCTGCAGCCCCCGGAGCTGCCCAGACCCCCAGGGAAGGCGCGGCAGCCCCGCTTGCCCTGATGATGAATGCAATCAGGTCCAATAAATGTCTCCGAATCTCTGAAAGCCAGTCACTAGATAAAGACGTAAACTGGTCTAGGGGGCAGAACTAGGACCAATGAGTGGCAACATTTTGTTTCTGTTTTCAAAACTGCATATAAATAATGGTTTCCGAACAACTGGAGCCATTCAGAAATGGAGCAAGTTGGCTTGGCGGTTAGTAAGTCTTGTGCTGGTAGAAACTCAGGAACAGGGGATGTGGCACAGGGGATGGAAGCAGGGAGGTGTCTGCCTGGAACAGCTTTAAAGCCTGATGCTAGACTGCCTGCATGTTTCAGGCCACCCCGCGTCCTGGCAGGGGCCCTGGGTGCCCTGTCCGTGCCTCTGAAGGAGGTAGGCAGAGAGATCAAGAATCAGGGGCGGAGGCAAACCCTACAGATAGACCATGGGGCAGGACACAACTAGGGCAAGCGAGAAATCCTGGGGTTTTCTTAGTTTCTTCCCAACTCAGCCTGGCTCCCAGCAGGTTTCCAGTGGAGGGTACCTCCACGTCACTCCCCCAGCCCGGGCTCCCTGCCGGAACGCCAGCCTCACCTCCGAAGGTCTTCAGGAGGGGGCAGCCCTCGGCGCAGGTTCACCCACTGCTGAAGCTGGTTCATGGAGCTCTTGCGCTGGGCGATCTTGTCGGGGTTGACTCGTGGCGGGAAGCTCTGCCGGTGCCCCCCCCTCTCTGAGTCCTGAGGCGGGAAGGCTGTGCTCCCTGGCCGGCTGGGGGAGCTGTACTGCCAGCCGTTGGGCTGGGCGGGCCGCTCCCCACCCCCGGGGACCCTTGGGCCCTCGGGGTAAGGGCTGCCGGGCTCCGAGCCTGGTCCTGGGCCGGCGTGGACGCCATTGGCTTTCACCAGGGGCTCGCTCTTGACTTCTGGCCTCTCGGGCCTCCGCTCCGCCTTCTCGCAGCCCCGGCCATCACCCTCCCCTCGAGTCTTGGCCTCCGGTTCAGACTTGGGGACGCTGTTGTGCGGCGGCTGGTGGTGGTGTTTGCTAGGTGGGATGTTCTCCGAGTCTGGCTTCTCGTGGCTGCGGGATGCCAAGGGAGATGTTGTCAGGGACTCCAGCCCAGCATGGAGTTGGGTGGTGGTGGGGAGACTGGGAAGGAGAAATGGAGTAGAGACAAATGGGAAGGGAGACAGCGATGGAAACAGGATTCAATGAATTACAACTCTGTTTCCTAAATCCTACCATTTTATCTTCTTGCTCCAGCCTGGACAACTATAAAACACAGTTCCAGCTTTCCTGTGCATATGTGCCCGCCCTGGTCCTCTCAGTCTACTCCACGGGCCACTCTCCACTCCCTTCTGCTGACCCACCTGGAGTCCAGCCTTCAAGCTGTGGTCAAGACTAACCTCACCCAGACCAGGTCTCCCCTGCAGTCTGTCCCTGACCCAGGCCCCAGACTTGATATGCACTGCACACTACACATGACAGGAACCTCTCTGATGTCTCAGCCACAGAGGCTGGCCACAGGTCAGAAAGCTCCTTAACCTCCACGAGTCTCGGGCCCCTCGCTGGCAGGATGGATAAGATGGTACCTCCCCTCATAGGACTGTGAGATCAAACAAGGCAGGCACGCCAGGGGCTGAAGCTGTTGCCCCAAACGTCACAGGCATAGAGACATGCGAGTTCCCTGCCTCCAGAACAAACTTCCTCCAGGCCTGACGTTCCGTTAGAGTTTAAGCTCCGTGAGGTAGGACCACATCAGACTCTCCTCCCTTGCTTTCCTAGCACCCTACATGGTGCCTTACACATTTCTACTTCCAAGAAACATTTATGAAGCGAATGAGTACACCCCTTGGTTGAAGCAAAGATAGAAGCTTATGACAACGTCCTCCCTACACCCTCCCAAATTCAACATATGCCAGCATCCTTGTTGAGACACCGCTTGGTAAACATTTCCAAGTCATGTAGGTAGACTTGAAGTCTACACTGTCAAACCTCCTTCTGCTGGATCCTTGATCACATCTCACTCAAGGCTCCACACCCAGTTCAAGCAGAGACAGGTGCTGAGGCTCCGGGTGACGGTGGGATGAGGTGACGGGAGCACTCGGATGCTGAGTGCTTACTTTACATACACTACCCAGTCCTCACAGCAACCCCCGAGGTCGGGTTATCATTCCTGTCTTTGAGGTTCAAAGGTCAAGAAGCTTACACCGAGGTCACACAGTGGGAAAGCAACCAAGTTGGGATTCGAACCCGATTCCCCCTTCCCACAGAGGCTGTGTGCTTATCAAAACAAGCAAATGACCCTGGCCTTTGGCTCCTGGCCAGGCCCTGATGGAACCTGGCTTCTCTCTTGGCCTCCACCAGCTCAGAGAGAACAGGAGAAGTGGGTCAGGGGAAGGAGGCTGCAGGCTCTGAAATCACCTAGCCAGGTACCCTGCTGGGAGGCAAGGAGCCAGTTCACACGTTCCCAGGGGTTCAAGCCCACACTCTGGGTTCAGCCGTGGCATAGAGGCGATGCTCCTTCAATCTTCCTCTCTCTAGCACTCCCCACGCCCCCCGCCGCACTCACTTGTGGCGCGCAGCTTGGGGCACCGACTTCTGGGCTGGGGGGATCTGTACCCGGGCAGCCTCCCCCATGGCCTGGATCCAGGCCTCCTGCTCCTCGGGGCTCTCGGCACTGAAGAAGTAGGTACGGACCCCGGCATGCTCAGCCTGTGGGGAGAGGCAGTGCGTGGAACTGGCCCCGGCCTCGTCCAGCCAGCACACAGTCACCTGCGGGGAGAAGACACCCCCACCCACAGAATGGGTGGTCAGGCAGGCCGTTCCCATGACCTGTAGCTCTCTGCCCCATGTGGAGCTCAGGGCAAGGCGAGGAGGCCCACAGCTGTCCCAGGTGCTCCAGCTGGCGCCCAGGTGTCTGCCTTGATTAGCTCTCTGGACACCACTAGGCAGCCCAGTAGACAGGTAAGCTGACCTGCCCCAACGAAGATGATTATAAGCAGGGGGGACAATTAACCACACCCGCTCTCCCATCAGGTTCCGTCTGAGATTTGATGGACAATGACCCCACATGTGGGAGAGATGCCCCCAACCCCAAGCACACGCCCATCTTGGCCCCCGTTTGGCCTCTGAGGAAGCAGCACTGTCCCTTCTGTGCAGAGGGACAGCCGTGGGCACACGGGGGGACACACACAGACAGTCGGAGCACGCTACCTAGTTGGCGGCCACAAGCGGGCGCGGCAGGCGGGAACCCAGGAGAGAGCTCCTGTCCAGAGGAGGGGTCCTCACGCGGCCAGAAGGAGGAGAAGCAGAGAACAGGTCAACCGAACACCAGAGGGAGAGACAGGAGACGATGGGACAGGGATGTTGAGGAGCAGAGGGAAGTGGGGAGTTATTCAGACCAGCCCCTTCTACTCCATGGCACCGTTGGGACCACAGCACCCAGCGAGGCCCAGTTCAGCCCACCAGGAGCAGGGGTGGAGAGCTGGCACCAGGCAATCTGCGCTGGTGGTGGAGAGAAGGCAGGGCACCCTGGTACTAACTCTAGATCTGCAATTGCAACCCACCCGCGGTTTCGCTCTGGCCTTCACTGATACATCTGTTTGATGCGGGGGGGGGGCACCCAGTGAAACTTTAGGCTCTGAGGCCTCAGGGAAAAGATGCTCCAGGGTGAGATTCCTTCTGGGACCTCCAAATACTCCCCAGGTGAGACCCTCAATCTCCCAAAAGCAGCAGCTGGCTTTGTGCATCCCACTCAACACAAGGGATCCCGATGTGACTATGCATCTCAGACGTGAACCTCACTTTGGCCCTGACCCTCTGGAGGCGAAGCCCTGGGTCTCTGGGGGTAGGAAGGAGAGAAGGGCTCCTCTGACCAAAGACCAGGCTCTCCTAAGTAGCAACGTCAAGTCCACACCCTCCAAGAGCTTTCCCAGCCAGACTTCGTCTACCTCGGTGCCTTCCCCAACGCACTTCCTTCCCCGGGAGCCATGGCCCAGTGAGGGAGCGTCTAACTCCTCTAGGTCCTGCCAGTCCCCACCCTCCTGTGGCAGGGCCCACCGTGTGGGCAGAGGCAGGGAGATGCTGACAAAAAGCCAGTGAAGTTGTAAGGAGGCATCTGGGGTTGAAACTGCACAGGGACATGGAGAGCAGGGGTGCAGGCAAGCCCTCCGAAGTGGAGAACGCAGGGTTATTGCGGAGGAGAGGGACACACAGAGGGGACTAGCGGGTGTGTCCTGGGCTGCAAATAACTAACTTGCCAAGTGTCTAGTGACTGTCCTGTGTGTGCTGAGCTCTGCTCTGGGCACCCGTCACCAGGAAAGCAAAGACATGCTCTCTGCACTTGAAGAGCTCACGATCAGGCCGGAGGACAAAGCATGCCCATGGAAAAACAAGGAGAGAGCAAAGCCTGGGAACAACAGCTTGTGACAGGGGAAGGCAGAGGGCCTGGGAAAAGGCAGGACAGTCAGTGGGGCGCCAGGAGGGGACACCAGCCTGGAAGTGCGAAAGGGGACCAGAGAACTGAGGGAGGCGCCCCATGGGGCGAGGCCACAGAGCCTCCATGGGGCTGTGTTAGGGAGAGGTTAAGGCACTGAGCAGCCGGCTGGGTGGGAACCGTGCTGGCTCGTTACTGGCCAGCCGAGGGCTTCTCTTGGTGGCCGCAGCAGGACAAGCCGCCCATCTGTCTCATCTCCCCTCCCTTCCCTGGGGAAAGGCCACTGAATGGCCACAATCGGAACCCTTTGTGGGTCACAGAGCACAGCCCTGAGTTGGGTTTCAAAGAGGCAGCGCACGCCTCAGGGAAAGGGGAGGGAGGGGAGGAGCTGATGGGCGCAGAGGCCCGGGGCTTGTGGGGGGGGGTGCGTCAGTCACTCCAGACGGTGATCTGCCGTGGGCTGCCGGCAGGGCTCCGGGCGCCAGCGTGCGCGTGTCTGTGCACAGGTCTGGAGGGGAGGGTGAGACAGCCCGTCTGACTGTGTGGGTGTGTGTGTGCGTCTGTGGATGGCAGGACTGTTTGTTGTTGGTTAAACAGCCTGTGTCTGCTTCCCCAGCTACAACCCGGCTCCCGGGAGCCAGAGTTCTATTGATTGTTCATCTGCAGGCAGGACCCTGGGGGGCTGGAAACTATGTGCCAAAGTCTCTCCCGGTTTCCCCCGAGCGGCACCTGAGCTTCTGTCCACCTGTCTTCTGCGGCCAGGGGACCAGAGCTGCAGGACAGAAAGGGGCAGCATCTCTGGGACCCCAGGCGCTCAGACACTGCCCTGGAGTGACCTGTGGGTTTTCAAGGTCTTAGGCAGCAATTCGCAACTAGGGGAGAGAGGGCTTTGTGCTAAGAAAATGCACAATGGTTGATGTCATAACTTTGTATTTGGAAAATGAGAAAGAACCTATGATCTTTTGCATCATAAAATACAAAAAAGGGCATGGAATGTTTTTTATCGTTTTTAGTGGGCCGTGAATTTTTAAATGTGGAGAAATACTGGTCTAGGATGAGCTGCAGCAGCTCAGTTTCGATGGGTAGATCCCCGCACCCAGGGGTCCCAAGAGTCGTGCTCAACAGGCAGGTGAGGGCCATCTCCCTGGGCCCTTATTCCCCCAAACTGTGCCTCAGTGAAGCCTGTAGCTCTTGATTATAATAAAACTCAATTCCTAATTTTCTCTGAAGATTGAAAATTGAGTAAGTTTGACTAGGCGTCTAGTTCCCTAGGCACATGGTGGAGTGGAAGACTTTCCAGAACGAATCTCAGAACCATGCCAGCCCACAGCTCCTGCCTCCGCTGGATTTCCCAGGTGCCACTGGGCAGAGGGTCCATGGGCTCAGGACGTAGCCATTTCTCTCCTAGGAAAGACTGTGGGACCAGCGAAGCACACCTCTACAGGCTTCCGCTGGGGAGGATTACCCGCCTGATCCCTGAGAGAGGAGAAGGGTGGCCGGGTCCGGCTCCCATGAGCCTCACAACAGCCAGCACTGAGTGCAGGGACCACTGCCTGCTCCCTCCCCCGCCGCTGCCACTGCCACCACTCGGGGTTTCCTAAAGGAGGTGGTTCTTGATCCTGCTCCAGGCCCCCAGGCTCTAGAGGGGCGGGCCTCCCTGCACCCCCTGACCTGGAAGAGGAAGGCCAACTGACCTTAAAGGTGTGTTTCCGGCTGATGTTGTCCGAGGGCTGCACCGCGGCCACCCGGAAGCTCAGGAGGGGGATGCTGCCCAGAACGCTCTCCTCCTTCTCATCTGTTGCAAAAGGAGGCTCAGTGAGACGTGTGTGTGTGTGTGTGTGTGTGTGTGTGTGTGTGTGTGTGTGTGTGCACGCGCGCAGTGGGGAGGGGAGCGGAGGCGCGAACCAGCCCTGCTGCGACAAACGTCCCCAAATACTCGCTGCTCATTTACTGTGTGTCAGGCACTCGAGGCCACCACACGACTACACAGCGCATGGTCTGCATGGCACCAAGGGGCACGCTCCCTGCAGTTGGGGAACCGGGGAGCGTGGCTGCCATGCAGACAGTGTTCTAGACACAAGGACTTAGAGGTGCATGCGAGAGGGGTGGTGCCCACACTCAGGGAGCTTACATCCCAGCACACGAGCACACACGCACGTAATGGCCGACACCGTGGAGCGCTTGCTGCGTGTCAGGCGCTGCCCCACGTTAAAGCCTTAGCGGATTTAAGCCGCCCAACAACCCTACGAATGGGTACTGTTGTGACCTCCACTTTATAGGTAAGGAGGCTGTGACACAGAAAGGTTATGTAATTCGTCCAAGGTTACTTAAGTGGAAAGTGGTGGATGGGTCTTTAGCCCACAAAGTCTGATTTCTGAGCTAGCATTCTTACCCGCGCTCCCACCCGCAGCGCCTCTCCCCACAAGACAATCCCAGCAGCGCTGCCGGACAGGACAGCGATGGGAGGGCACAGTAGAGTGGACACTTGCTTCTTTGGCTCTGGCTCCTCTGGGTAGCTGTCTCTGAGGTTCTCCCAGCAGCTGGCTTTGTCCTCTCCTGACGAGTCCCCTCCCCTTTACAGTCCCCAAGTCTGCTCAGGAAGACACGCCCCTGCGTGGCCTCCCGGCCTGCTGGTCCCCGGGATCAGGCTAACAATCAGGCTGTTGCATAATTCATCCTGGATCTCTGAAGGAGCCTGATGGATTAGCTAGCTGGGCCCCAGCTGTCAGGAGGAGACCAGAAAGAGCAGGGGGTAGGGGGGTGCTGTGTGGGAACTCTGAGCTACGGGCCAACTGGAAGGCCATGGCAAGACCCTCCCCACTTCCCTGGGATGGCTCTTTATTCCCAGGGGCTGGAGACCCTCTAAAACCCTCAACTAGGGTTCAGGAGAAATCTCTTAGGGGTTACAGACTCCACTGGCCCCCTCTTTGCTCTTATTCATCACCTGTACAAGCTTCTCGGCCTGCGGCCCAGATTCCTGCGCAGACCCCAGCTTGGGACCCAGAGGAAGGGCTAAGCTGAAGCTCTGGCTGGGAACCCAGAGCTTCTTCGGGAAAGCAGAGGCTGTCATTCCCAGGAGGAGACGGGCCCCCTGCCTGGGTGGGTCCAGTGTTTAGGGGGTGTCCTGAGAGCTCTCAGTGGATAGAGACCCTCCCATCGCCGTGCCCCATGAGATCAGAGCTTTTTAAGGTTCTGTCCTCACGCCAGGCCCGGAGTGTCTCCTCTGCAGAGGACCCCCCACCCCTTTCCTCCAGCTTCGGTCATACTCTGGCTCCAGAGTGGCCCCATGTCCCGGGGCCCAGCCTGAGCAGATTCTTCTCCCTCAATCTCAGGGTTCCCTCTGGGTAGACCCTGCACAGGCAGCCCCCACCTGATCTCTCTCCCCAGGGTTCAGGTGGCAGCAACTCAGGGCACAGGGACAGCAGCGCTGTGGGGGGTCACCGGGTACAAGCTTTGTTTGCCAAAGTTAATGATTCACTGAATTGCACCCAGGAGGCTGAAGAAATCAGGACTCTGCCTTCCCCAGGGCATGGAGGGAAAGGACACAGCCACTCCTGCTGCAAAATCATTTCACCCTCTCTCCTCCTGGTGCCCAAGTCGGTCTCCTCGTGCTGCATCAGTGTGACGGGACCATCGCTGTCACCAGCGCTTGCTAGTTTCCTCTCTGCCCTCCTTTACATATTGTTGCTGTACGTATTTTAAAAATAACTTCCTAGAGGCTGCTGTACCAGTTATTAGATCTTTGCCCTTCCTTTTTTTTTTCAGAGTGGGGAGGGTAGGGAGTGAGCACTGGGGCAGCACAGAGGGCAGAAGCTGGGGGATATTCATTGATTCCACATTGCCTGAGCACCTACTATGTGCCATGTGCTGTTCTGGGTGCTGTGGATACAGCAGTGAACAAAAGTGACCAGGACCTCCTGCCCGCACAGATAGGATCCTACATTCCAGTGGGACAGGAGGCTGATCAACATACAAGCTCCAATTAGCAGGTGACCTGCTAGTGGTGTCTAGACTAAACCTTCCTATTCTTCGTCCTCTTCCTCTCCTTCCCATCCCCTCCCCTGGACTTTACCATCTGTCATAAGAATGTCTTGTTCATCCACTGCACCACCAATCAGAACCTAGAGCTCTGCCTGAATCCTAGTAAGTACTTGGTAAATATCGCTGAATGTGAAAAGGGCAAGGGAGCTTTGTCTTTATCCCACTGTCACGCCCGCTGGTGCTGGAGACCACAGTGGGGATACCTGCCCTGGCGCCTCCCTGAAACATGCATCCGAAACAGAGCCCAGTGACAGGGCGGGATGAGAAAGGCTTTCCGCAGCCCCGGCCCGACCAGGGGCCAGCTCACCTTTGTAGTAGAAGAGGCAGCGGTCCACCAGGACGAACCAGCGCTTGTTCCACTGCTTAACCCCGGAGCTGGCCTGCAGGACACCCGGGAGAGACAGACAGGAGGGTCTGTGAGCTGGGCGTGCAGTGGAAGGACAGCGGCCCTGTTGTAAGGACAGCCTGCCTCGGGTTGCAGCTCTGCCACTGACAAGTGGCAGCAACCCCGAGAGCCCTCAGCGGCGGGGACGACGTGGCATTACTGCCTGCGACCTTCCAGCCCTGTCGTTCCGGGCCTCAGTGCCTCCCCCAGGGAAGACAAACAGGGCAGCGATGAGCCAGAAGGAGTGAGCAGAAGGGCGGGCAGGGGTAGCGGCAAGGTCAACGGGCAGAACCGCAGGGCCCCTAGACTTACAGGGGACACCCTCGTCCCTTTAGAGCAAGACTGACTGAGCCAGCACTGGCTGGTGACCTCACACGTTTCAAAGTCATTGCGTCTGCCTGTCAGGAGACCTGGCTGGACTCCCAACTATGACACTAATTTCTCTGTGTGATTAGGGGAAGATACTCAACTTCTCTGAGCCTTTATAAAATCAGGAGATTTGTTCCCAGGGATACACCACTATAGGTTCGTGGGAGGACAACACGGGAAAATATACTCGGATCATTGTAACTACAGAGGAATTACGGCGCTCTGAGGACAAAGCTGGGGGTCAAGGTGGGCAGAGTGGCAGAGGAGGCCTCACCTGCTTGGAGAGCCAGCCTGCCTTGGTGACAGGAGCATTGGGGTTCCGCTTCATGGAGTGCGAGCGCTTGCCGAAGGCGATGGCCTTGCGGGATGTCCGGGTCGCCTGGGGCGGCAGAGAGAGAAGCCACCTTAACTTACTCGCCTCCTTCCTGCTCCGATGTGACTGCGAGGCGACCAGCCTTGGTGGGAGCTGCATCGCTCGAGATGGGGGCCGTCAGGGGAAGAGGCCCAGGTGAGAATCTTAGATCTGTTACTGACTCAAGGGCACAGACTTTCAATCCTTTGGCTCTTTTCTTACTGCTAAGTGCTAAGTGCACACCGACATCATCATCCTTCAGTCCTGTTCACTCTATTTTTAAGGGGGAATTTTTTTTTCTTTTTTACTTTTTTTTTCTGTTTGGGTCTTTTTTTCCTTTCTGAGTTATAGTCAGTTTACAATGTTGTGTCAGTTTCTGGTGTACAGCACGATTTTTCAGTCACACATGAATATACATATATTCATTTTCATACTCTTTTTCACCGTGATTACTTTTTCTAAAATAAGGTTTTTAAAATTAGTTCAGTTTTTCTTTTTTCTTTTTTTTTTTTTTTTTTCGGGAAAGGGGTTGGAGGTGATTAGGTTCATTTAATTATTTTTTTAAATGGAGGAACTGGGGATTGAATCCAGGGCCTCGCGCGTGCTAAGCGTGCCCTCTACCACTGAGCTCTACCCTCCCCTGTCCTGTTCACTCCTGAAGGTCCAACACACCACAGAGTAGGGAGGATGCATGGGCCTTCTCGTAGCTCTTTATTGCCACAGGGACACCACCATTCCTCCCCACCTTCTGGCAACAATCTCTCTCTCTCTCGAAGCACCGCTGATCTTTCTCTGTTTAGCCCTTCTCCCCACGATCAGCTTCTGGATCGTTCTTTCAGTGTCTAAGGATCTGGATATCCATCATCCCCTTCATTCTAACTCTTGCCATCACTGTGGACAATTTTATTGTTCCACAACGAAAGAAGAGGATGACCCACCCAGTGGTCTAACTTTCAACTACCCTGATGTCCTCAACAACCAAATCCTCCACCTCCACCCTAGCAGCTCCCCAACAGCTACACCCTAGACCTGGCCAGCCCCCAAGCCCCTTCCCCACTCACATCATCGGTTTTCGTACCCCATCTTGGGCTGTCTCCTTCCATCACTCAACCACAGCAGCTTTTCGACTCCACTGCTACTCCCAGCTCCTAGATCCTTCCCCTTTTCCTCGGGACTCATCAGCTACCTCCTGGTGTTAGTTATTTCCCTACAAAGCCTAGGCCCCCTGGCGGACTAGATTAACTGCACCCTCAAACACCCCATCCACTGACTTTCTGCCTGATCCTCTCTGAAACCCCAAATCCCAGATTAACCAAATTATCCCCTGCCCCTGTACTCACAGCCAGACTATGGTGCTGCTGAAGAAAAATCACACCATGGTGCAGAGGAGGCCACCACGGCCCACCCCGATCCCAGCCGGACTCAGCCCCACACAGCAGCTCCAGTGCACACCCTCTCCATTCTCCCAAGCCCTGCAACACTCCCGCCTCTGCCT